CAGGAGAAAAATAAAACCCAGCGCTGTTCTATTCATTCTTCCAGAGGCAAATGACCGTGTCTCATGCGCAGCCATGGTATCTATCAACTGATGAAACATATACCCTCGTCCACATGCTTCCATATTCACACCGCGCGCGAAGAATGGCGAGATTGTCCCACCACAAGACCAACCTTTCTCCCCACCCCTGTTGTCTGTTGCTTTCCGCCCGTACCAAGAATTACATAGTTAATGAAAACTTACTTGAAACTTCATCTCTTTCGGCTGGAGTCTTACATTGCCTGGGACCTGCCTGTATGCCTGCTTCCAATTGTGCCGCAAACTCTGCCCGCCACACGCAGCGCGCATCGCTCGAGAATTACCTGGAATGATGCCCAACGCAAGAAAGCCCACTGTCAGCTTGTTGCGATTAGGTCCGTGCACAGTGAACGCTGTGGCTATTTTTAGGCATACATCCATGATTCAACCGAGAGATCCGATGCCGGCCTTGTTTGTTCAATTTATTCCACGTCCAATGCCGGCTTCACACCGAAAGACGAAATGATACAATGCTTGTCTTCAGATTCCTCCCGGCGGCCCGTATTTAGTGCCTTTAAGATTATATCAAAGATTATTTTATTAGTGAAAATTCAAAGAAAAAATGGATGTGTGAGGTTGTTAGATTCGAGAGCCACGAACCGACGCAAAAACGCAGCCATGATCGGAGTGGAAACCTTGGAGACCCAAAGAATGCTGTATCATCAACCCCAACTTATTATAATTCAACAGGTGAGTGTGTCTTTCTTTAATTTATTCACTCCCCACTACGAAAGGAATATTCGTCAACCTCTTTCTTTACTTGTGGCGATGCTATTCTGGCCTGTTATGGTTGTTACGATGTGGTACAGGGTAGGTGCATCTCAATTCTCACCAGTCGCGTCAGCACAGGGCAGTGCTCAATCGTGCATGCACACAAGTTACAACACACAGAGCTGGATCGCCAATGACGCAATAGATGGGCTTGGACAAACTACCAAGCAATCTCCCAGTCTGTCATGTCATTGTTTCATGTTGAATCGCGACGCCTGAGATGGGATGACACGTTGCTTGGCGTGCACAGATGCCTTACCAAGTACCGAGGCGCCTGAATTTGCCACTCTTCCCGGAACCTCCATCTCCCAACGGAGCAGATCAGGCAAGATAGACGCAAGCAACCATGGCGAGAATTGCGATCTGCGAATATCCTTTCTCTTTGATTCTTTGAAATCAGACCGTTAATCACCACGTGATTCATATTGTTTTCCCCGAGAGACTCGAGGTATGATTGAGCTCGAAGCTGTGTGCCCCCTCCTATGATTTCTGGGGTTACAGGGCCTACATGTACCTAGCGCGTCGGCCCCGCGTCAAGTCTGAGTGAACACTTGGGGAATGATTCGACTCGACTTGGTTTCAAACGTTCTTCACAGTTGGTAAAATAAGGCATGGTGCTATTCATGATATACCAGATTGAGATCTATCTACGACTGCGATTTTTTGCATCCTACATGAACCACGGGGTCAATCCAATCCACATTCGGCTGCTCCCCTTCAGCCGTCATAAAGACACTCAACGGCCTCGCGTACGGCAGCGCCTGTTCCTTGTCCCACACCAGCGTGACATTCCCATTGCGCTGAGCCTGCTCGTTATTTCCAGGGCCCCTCATGTTGTACAGTGCCATGGTCGTATGCTCGTCGAAGTTGGTCCCTCCCCACGTTGTGTACCCTGCAGGAAGGGCTGTTTCGTCCAGGTAGCTGTTCATCATGAGAGACCGATGCAGCGAGTTCCAGGGGCGGCCTAGGGAGCATTTCCCCTTGGAGTCCTGCAGCACAGTCGTGTTTGTGGCGATGATGTTCGTGTCTGCGATGTAAACCCCGTACTTGTTGGGGAACGTCGTGTTGGTCCCTTTCCAAGCCGTGATGCCTCCGCCGCAGCTACGCAGCAGCAGAGTGGACTTGTCTACAAAGAGAGTGCCGAAACCGTAGAGGAAATCAGTCTGGCCCGCAATAACGGAGTCGTACATGACCGAGTTGCCCTTCTTTCCGATATAGACCTGTTCTTGTTAGCGGGAGGCTGAGGAAGGACCCTGCAGAAGAGGTCTCACTCACGGTGTCTTGGTAGCTGTAGAAACCACAAGAATAGAAGCCCGTGTTTGCATATCCAACTGCGACAGCATGGGCAGGCCCAGCAGCGCGAGGGGCGAACTCATTTCGGAAGTCAATGTTATAAGCCCTGAAGTCAGAGCACCCAAACGGAGTATCCGCTGGAACGGGATAGCCTGTTGGGCCAGCGCCAGTTTGGGTAGCGTTGTATGTTGGGCCGACCGCCAGGACACTGGTATACAAATTGTCGGGGTACGTGGCCGAGTTGGCTGCGTTCCAGTATACCTGGACCTCGTTTTGGGGGTTTTCATTGTATGTTACGTTGGAGTACACTTCTCCGTTCCAGGGCCGGTCAGACTGACCTAGAAGAGTAACGGGACCGGAGCGAGTGACGTTGATTTGCTCTGTGTAAATACCAGCGCTGATGAGGATGACATATGGAGTCGTATCGTTTGGCAGTGAATGAACGGCATCTTGGATGGTGGGAAAGTCTGCTGTTGTATCCTCGTTGCTTACATAAATGGTGCCCTCAGGGCAACCATCCAGCGGATTGTCTGTTTTCTTTTGACAGTCTTTGTAGGCAACCGAGGGTCTCTTCCCAGTTGCTGCGAGTACCAGAGACGCGACATAGGAGAGCTGAATGCTCCATCTGAGGATAGAAGGCATGGTAATTTAGTCTGCTGGGACTGAAGGTCTTGGCTGAATTACCAATTAGCGGCATCAATGGCCATTTTCACGGCATATATATGAAAGGAATCCATTAGACGTCCCAATCGGCCAAATTTCCCAAGATATTTTGAGAGCGCATGTAGTTTGACGAGCAGAGCATACTAGGCTCGGATTTAGGCTATGATCCTGCAACCCCAGTCTCGTAGCCCTGAACTCCCCCGCCATCATCCCGTCGGTTATTACGGCACTCATATGTATTTTCTTCCATCCTTGAGAGTTCTATGCATCGTGAGGGCTCAAGGCGACCCGGGAACAGGTAACACTCTGAAATTGTTGATACATGTTACTATGCCATATTATGGTCCAAGACAATTTCTTCCCAATTGATAAGAAGCCCCTAGCAATAGCACAGAATATCAGAGATAATATTGAAACAGATTAAGTGCATTCACTGGTTGGAGGAACCAGGTGAGGTGGATCGAGCCCAATGGTCTGGATCGTAGCAAGTGGGGATGAGCTGTGAAAGATCGTTGGAGGAAGAATTATAAGCCGTTGCAACTCGGGCAGGGGATATCAGGGTAATACTACCGACCACCTGCAAGGGTACGGAGTATCTTGCAAGTCCCATCGTCTATTTCCCCGGGAAAACAAAGTCAAACCATCCCCAGATTCCATCAAGGTCAGCCTATTTCAGGGGATCCAACCACCAAGGCCCACCTGACCCAAGATTGGTACGGTGATCGGTTCTGTAGATGTCCTTGCTTCGACTTAGGAGTATTGGTGGCCAATGTGCTGAAGCGTAGCTAATCTTTGAGTAGATACACAGGATGGAATCCTATAAGGAGCACAGTGGCAAGCGCAATCAGCATTCCGTCTAATCCAATAAACAATCCCTCGTTCTGGGCAAGCCCGCTGTCAAGCCCATTTGATAGTTCTGCAACTCGGTATGCAGACCTAATCAAGACGAGAATACAAGCAATTGCTAGGGAATAAATGAACATTGAAAGACGCATGCTCTTTGTCCACGCCGCAGGTTTCTTGGATTTGGCCTCACACAATCCTCTACTTTTAGTTTGCCCAAGCAGAATGGCCGAGAACAACACAAGAAAGACTGTGAGTGAGACAACTTGGAGGACGAGACCGACGATGGTGACAATGACACCGGAAGGTTTCCCGTACTTGTATTTGGCGGCCGCCTCAGGAGATGAAGTCTGGGAGGTAGTCAGAGCACCTCCAGTTGCTTGCACGGCCAAAATGACAACGTCGCAAGGTATAAAGATGCGAGGATATAGGCCCGGTTTTATGTTGAGATACCCTCTCCCCATCTTTTGTGCGAGCTGGCCAATACTTATATAGATCCTATTTCCTAGATTAGTCTGAATTTGGTGGAGGTGAAAAGGTGGCATGAATCCTTACGCGGCGGTTATGAAAACAGGGGCGATCGTAAGGAGAGCATACTGGATTGTGAAGCCATCTAGGGCGAAAGGGTTCGAATATGCTTTTATGCGCTCCGCATATCCAACCAGTTCCAAAACACTTCCTAGTATAATGCAGATGTTGTAACTGAGCCAGTCTCTTCTCCGTTGTAGGATGATGATAGCTGCCGCGCTGATGACCAAAGAGTAGATGACCGTGAGAAAGATGTTGGCGCCTAAATTTGGTCGATAGCCATAAAACGAGAGCTCGACTGCACAGCTTTCGATCGAGCAGTTGTCGGTGTTGGACATGATGCTGTTGGATTTAATGCTGTGATGTCTAAGGGAAGGTAGAAGACGCTGGCGGAAAGAAGTAGATTCATAATAAAAAAGTTGAGGAGCATGTGAATTATATACGTATCTACTTGCGAACCCGGATGATATAGAGCTGATCTAAAAATTACCATTTAGCACTCTGTGTCTGCTTGTGATCTGCCTATCTGCCTAGCTTGCTTGGGAACCGGATGGTTAGTTTGGAAAGCTACCAATAGAATGGGTCAACGACGCTGACTGACCAAGTTACAGGAGGCACGAGGATGGATGTCAGCAGCGCACGGCTCGGAGAGCGACATAAGCCACAATTAGGACGACCCGCAAGTCCGCAACTCCGTCCGGTTGGCCAGGGGGGCTGGATATCTCTTATGCCTAACTCCGTCCTGATCACGGTGCTCTCGGTTGACAACCCATCCAACACCGTCCGACAGGTACAGGCCCCGACCTGCGATTCAGGTGCAAACAATGTTTTCCGACCTTGTCGCGCAGAATTCCGACTCTTCGGAAAGTCGTGGTGGTGGACAGGGCGAGGACGGCAGTGGTCACATTACCGCCATCTCCTTCTATGGGCGCGCTTGTACGAACTGCCACGCTGTAAAATGCAGATGCGAATATCCAGCTGAAAGCGGAAGTTGCCTGCGGTGAGTTTCCTATTCCGATTCTCCTGATTCGCTAAATGTGATGTGAGGAGCCAAAAGACTGAGTCGTGCTTTCGACTTTGATAGATGCCGCCGCTTGGATAAGGAATGCCGACCAACTATGCCAGTCCGAAGGCGGCGTGTACAGAAAGAGTCGCGATCTAGGACCGCCAGACTTGAAAGGCAGTTGAGTGAGTTGATGGCTTTGGTTGGTACTACCAACAGAATAGGTTCTGGAGAGAGCCTAGACCTCACAACTTCTACCGCTACTGCTTCCGTGTGTTCTCAAACCTATTACTCCACACCTATCTCTCATACGGCCACATCAATCGGGGTACCAAATGACTCCGGTTTCCAGCAAACACCTAACCATGTCCCTAGCATAACTGACGATGGCCAAGTCGTTTACCTCTCTGATAATGAAATGGAAGCAAGCTTCACACGTTTTCGGCTTTCTATATTACAAGGATTTCCATTTATCTACATAGCCCAGGGAGTTGACCCAGCACAATTTCGTCGCCAATACCCCATGGTTAGCCTCTGCATTATCTTCATTACAAGCTCGGACTTGCAGCGGAAGGTGGCCATGGGAAAGACTATCTCTGAGACACTCACAAAGAAGATCATCATCCAGAGACGTGCCAATATTGACCTTCTGCTGGCATCCATCTGTTTTACAGGCTGGTTGGTGACAGTGCTCTATTCATCTTTGATGCTAAACACGCAGGCTGATGAAAGTGATAGGATCCACCATAATGGAAGACCAGAAATGTTGACGGCCTGGGTACAGCTCACCCTAACAGTCGTATATGATATGAAACTCAATGTGATTAAGCTGGACTCAATGCTGCTTCGAAGGGCACTCCTTGGCGCCTTCATTCTGGCATCTATGTAGGTCAAGCCTCTATTTTCCCTCTTTGTTGAAACTTAACTAATGGATTAACAGTGGAAATCAGAACGAGAGTAGTGTCCAGGCTTTGAAATGGACCTCGGTGATGAACGACTCACTTGCCATACTCGCTGATACACCGGAGTGCCCGGGCGATAGATTGCTGGCTGCACAAGCCCACTGCCACCTAATTCTTCAAGATTTGCTATTTACAAGCCCGTTTCTTGGACAGCATGGGACTGAAGTTGAATATAACCCCACCAAACAGATGTACCGGCAAGAAGCGTTGTCGCGCCTCCAAAAGGTCAAAACTGCGTTTCAGATGGAGGCAGCTTGCAACAGTACGTCTCTTTCCCAAGTATCCCTATCTATTATGAATGGCGCTAATTCGACATAAACAGCCGTCGTGGCTATGACGATTCTTGCGACGGAGCAGGCCATCTTCTCTGCCGCGGTAGGCACTTTCGGCGACTATCAACCCCCTGAAGTGCAAATGCAGATCATCTCAAACTTTCATCGAAGCCTGTTGGCAGTCAGTGGGTGGTTTCGCACATTTCTCCCGCTTGGTGCCCTCGCGTTCACAACTCTCCCGATCGCAACTTTTGTGCAGCTCTCGTCAAATGCTGACACTCTGTTTTCCCTCACTACTTTTGACAACCCTTTGTGGGATACAGAACTGGTCTCGCAGACAGTTGATGTGTTCGCCACCCTGGATACGGTTGCGCACATGCTCAAGTCAGTCCCTGGGATCCTGGGACAGTCCGCTGTGCCGAATGACACACCTCCGGGAGAGATGGATGTGATCACTGTAGCAGTAGAGAACATTAGAGAGCAGAAGAAGGGTTGGGAGTCCGTTGCAGCTGAAAAGCGAGCACTCCGGGCTTTACTTGACGAGATATGGGGCCACAATATGCCGTTCAATGCTCTGGATCTTGAAGGACTTCAACGAGAAGGCCCGGAGTCAAAATAGCCTTGGCCAGTTCTATATAGACTTTAAGCCTGCCAAATAAGGCAAGCTTGGAACAAGTGATCTAAGATCCATCTGCACCGAGATGGTAACGCATTTATTTTTTGTGTGAGACTGCAGCTGAGTCTTGCTATTGTGCCATGGCACATCTATTGTGTCTTCCTAGGTTCTATAGTTTACCATGTTATGTAGAGCCCTGCCTTAACATCTCACTCTCGGTAATCGTGTGATAAATTCTACGCTATATGCAAAGATTGGAGCATGAAATTCGAGATGACCACTGGAAGTAGGAGTTCGCTCTTTCCATCTTATGCTACTGAAGGGGATTCAGCCACAATATCCTGCCGACCCTTTTTTATCAATTCCGTTGCTTGGAGGAAAAAAGAGTCAATCCGCAGAATTACGGGACGAAGAAGAAGCCTGGCACTCAAATCCTCCGTTCCGCCTAGACGCTGCAGCGACTGGTGGAACTTTTCAAGTAGCCTGTACGCAGCTTCTATGTCTTGTGGCTTCGAGGCCAGCAAGAAGAGATAGATCAGAAAGTTCCCGCAGAGGATCAGCTGCGACCGTGCATCTGTTCGTGAAGACGGGTTAAGTCAGCTTGCATTCATAGGATAGATGCCGGAAAATACTTACGGCGCCCCCAGAAGCCTGTCAAGTCCTCTTCGGTGATCTCATCCATAAAGCATGCAAACGACTTGAAGGATTCTAGAGCAGTGCTAAACCATTTTGATAGGTTTGAGTCGGGAGTCGCCTTTGCTTCCCGTGTTGCTGGAGACATCAGCGCCCGGAACAGCAGGACCTGAACGGCATAGTATGATAGGTTCAGGGGGCCTGAAGAAGGGGGCCGTCTGTTAGCACTCACAAGACCCAACCCATATTATGCAATAGCTGTGCTACTGCGCAGCTGACGTACGTACCATTGTGAGGATTTTCTCGGCTGGATCCCACCGTTAAGCAGTGCGGAACGAGACTTGGCCATTCTTGCAACCGATCATTGGCAGTTTGCAGGCAGCATTGTGCCTGCGGCTCAGCCATGGTTGGTTTGACTTCGCTGTGAAGGAGGTTAGGTCTCGTCCAACATAATTGTGCGTCATATTCAGTCGTTGATGTAGGATTACATGTGGAATGAGAGACACTTACTAGCCACAATCAAGGATCGTTCGCAAGGTTTGGGCGAGGTTGACTGCTTCCAAACACCGGGCGCTGTTAGCGACGCGGAACTGTCTGTCTTCCGGGTTAACGAGGTAGTGCAAATCCTCAGGCACATCTTCGTCGAACCGAAGATCATCCACACTCAGAGGCGTTGTGTCGAATGTTGAGGACCCAATGTGGGGTGGGTTACCATGGCACACTGCAGACCAGCAATCTGTAGCATATACTGCCCACCAAAGCCTCCTCCTCAGCTTCTTCTCCCACGGGGCAATGTTCCATTGGCCTGGGTCCCGATGAAGACCGATCATTTGCGCGCATGCTGTGGCCTGCGAAGTCAGGAACCAGGTAGCGGGCGTTTCCACACTGTCAATATCTGGCGGCGTGATATGCAGGAGGAGGAGACAAGCCTGCAGCTTGAACAAGTTAGGTGCCTCCAATTCGCGTCTAAGGGCGGAATGGGCTTCGGCAACGAGCTCGTATTGTTGAAATGGGCAAGGATCGGTAAGCTGAGGGTCTTGATTCCAGAATACACATGCCAGCGCATAAACCGCGCCTCTTAAGGATGCGGGCAATTCCAGTCTGTCATCCGCATACCGGCGAAGAAATCGTACTTTAGAAACGATTGGGTAAACTGGATGGATGTGCTTGAAGTATAAGCGTACAAGCGCAGGGCCATGAGGCCAAACCTTGGTCTCAATGGTGTCCGAGGCCGCCTTCACCGCGTTATTGGTATGGTCGGGAAAACCATTCAGCAGGAGAAGAAAATGAACCGGATGTCGCCCTACGCCCTGGCCACCATCATGGACTTGGATGATATTGGCATCAATTTCGTCCTGCTCGCTGAGAAGTAGAGAGCGAAACGCGCTGAGAAAGTGGGGGTCCTGTTCGGCAGCAGGACCCATGGAGTGTGACGTTCTATCCCCAATATCCTCTAGTGCATGAAGAGGCTGGCTTGTGTCTTGTTCGTCGATGGACGAACCTTGACTAGGCATCGAAGCTGGCTTATCCTCCACGGTTTCTTCTGGCTGAAGGACTGATGGATCGTGTGACAGGCCGTAATGAACCACGGCAGGGGATGTGGAGTCTTGCCCTCCAGCACTCGAGGGTGAGGGTGCGACGATGTTGGAGAAGACTCCCTCTCCGAAACTTAACTGACCTGCTGGCTCCTCTGGAGACGGGCTACCAGCAGCAGCATTCGGTGCCAACGGTGATGAGATACATTCTAGACCTCGGCTCTTGCAGAAGTGACCTACAAGCTGGTGAGTGAGTAGTCGACATCCAACTTGCCGATCTATCTTTGTTTGGCTAGAGATAAGGTGGTAGATGTGAACTACCCCAGAGACAGCCGGATTGAAATATGGGACTCACAAGGAGGCTTATCAGTGATGACACAGGCAGTTTTCCGTCGGCGGCATATGTCGCAGGGCCTATTCTTTCGGCTCCGAGGTGTGCGGGCATTGCCAAATTTACTCTGGATCGTGTACCGACGAGAGCCCTGATGACTTCCCCGTGGGGCAGAGGGCGGTTGTTGCTCCATGACAGCCAACCATTCGAACAGGCCAAGTAAGCGGCCGGCTATTTTTACGTACCGGTTTCCTGCTACGGGGAAGGATGTGGAGGTAAGAAAGAGGTTCTGCGATCCCTCTGGCTGGTTGAGAAGTTGGCCGAAGCTTCCCCTGATTTTATTGTGGGCTTTTCATTCGCGGTTGCCCGAGGCCGGGCAACTAATGACGCTGGAGCTGGCTACCCTATATCGATTGCATTACTTAAGCATTGCTGCTGAGTCAGCCGCAAATTCACATACCCTATAACTGGTTCCATGGCTTGTATTCTGAACTCTCTCTTTCAAATGCCAAAAGGAATTAGTAAAGGAGACGGAACGAACTTCAAAATTCTAGATTTCTTGTGTACATTTCAAACGTAGAGATACGCGATCTAATACTTGCCTTGCTATGGCTATATAAAAGTAACATATTTACTCTGATGACCCATTGCCACTCTCCGCAGGGCTTCAACTGGCATAGGTAAGACCAGGTGCTTACTGGCCGTCTGTGTCCTGACCCATCCAACAAGTTACTTCCTCAGCCTGAGTTTTGCACCGACATTCTTCCACCAGCTCTCGTTCCATCTATGGTCATCTGTGGTTTCGACTTCCTCAAACTCTCGTCGGCCAGTGACCAAATCCACCTCCTCTGGACGATGCATCTTGGTTTTCTTGACCAACTTCCAGGCGACAACATTGCCAATGAAGATGACTGTTCCCAAATACTTGAGAATAAATTGATCAACCTTGAAGGTGGGGATGAAAGCATCATATCCTAAGAAGCACAAGTAATTAGCCAAGGTTTCACCATTAGACACCAGCTTGCCTCGTCACGCCTCTCGAGATAGAATTAGAGAGAAGAACTTACCGCTGAAAACGAGAACCAAGAGCGAAATAAACAAAGAGTAGTATGCGCCATAGGGCTGGAGCCATCCGACGAATGGGAGCGACTCTACGCTGATGCCCTGGGCCTTGATTGCGCGTCGGAACCCCAGGTAAGAGGTGAGAATAGCGATCCAGTTAAGGATGGCAAAGATGGTGATGAGACTGACGAGATAATCGAAGACTTGGCCGGCATCCTTACTGGCATTCATGTAGCCTAGACCAACGAAAATAGAGGAAATGGCAATGGCCCAAATTGGAGTGCCGTTGTCGAGCGCCTTGGCAAAGATTTTTGGGGCTTGCCCATCCTTGGCGAGACCATAAATGGATCGAGAAGAACAATAGATGTCTGAATATTGAGACGAGTCAGCACCCGGATGCAATGAACAGCTATTTCGCACTGAGTTTCTTACCGGTACTGGCAGCACTAAATGTGAAAACGAGGAGACTGGCGTTGACAAAACCACCCATGGCTCTGACACCGCCCATATTGAAGGCAACGACGAAAGGAGAAGCAGCTATACAAGTCAATTAGACTCTGTTGTGGCAAATGAGTTGGGCGAGGAAGAACTGGAGTCATACCTCCGCTTGTGGACTTTTTGGTGGCGGCAAGCAGCTCTGGGTCGTTGTACGGCACGCACATGCCAAGAACAATGACACTGAGAATGTAGAAGACGACAATTCGGTAGAAGGTTTGCTTCACGGCCCTTGGGATATTCTTTCGAGGGTTAGGGGTCTCTCCGAAGGTCATGCCTACAACCTCGGTACCAGTGTACGCGAAGCACGTCTTCACCATGGCTGCCCACCAGCCGAGGAACTGGCCTTTGGGGCCATCGGCAAGATAATGTGCGAAAGCACCTGGGTCGTTCCAGTAGGTGAATCCGGTTCGCTTATGGTTGGGTGCGCCACCGAGAGCGACAACCAGGCACCCGACGATGAGGACGGCCATGATGGCGACCTTGGCGATGCTCAGCCAGAATTGCAACTCGCCAAAATGGCGAACATGGATAATCTAGAAGCAGCCATGGTCAGATGAAAATCCTGGTCGCCTGGCTGGAGAATGCCTGTGCTCGAACTTACGTTGGTGAGGATGACCAGGACGCCGAAGACAGTGACCCAGATGGCCACGTTTAAGTCGGGTCGCCAGTACTGGATAATCAGACCGCAAGCAGTCAAGTTTGCTGGTGTCGAGACAATATACTTCAAGAAGTAATTCCAACCTGTTGCAAACCTATGGTGCGAAAATTAGTCAGTAACGCCTTCATGCTTCAAATTATAGGTGAAATCATACCCTAGCGCCGGATCAATCATGCGGCTGGCGTAACCGCTGAACCCTTTATTCATAGGCAAGAAGGCAGCCATCTCGCCGAGGGAGGTCATGACAAAGAAGACGGCGGCACCGATGAGGAGGTAGGCAATGAGGGTACTTCCAGGCCCACCGCGGACGAGAGATGTTCCAGTACTGATGACCAAGCCTGTTCCGATGGCGCAGGCGATACTGAACATGAAGACCTGGTGCGGCTTGAAGTCACGCTTCAGCTCATTCTGATTGCCTTCGGCCAGAACATTTTCAATGTCCTTGACGGAGGCCTTTTCATCATCTCCAGTTGCCATCTTGTCTGGTGTATGAAGATTCTGTTCACCTGGGAGTAGTGTCTTGGTACAAGAGAGAAACACCTGTTCCAAGTGAAGGATGTAGAGAAGAAGAAGAAGAAGAAGGAGGGGAAGAGAGAGGGAAAAAAGAGGAGGATTAGGCGGCTAGATAAGAAACGTAAAGCTTAAGAGGTAAACGCAGGATAGCTCGTAAAACCCAGCAGACGTGGGGAATCGGGGCCCCGCGTAAGTCGGTGTTTCTACATAGATTACAATCATGTCATACTCATATTACATCTACGGACATCTATATGTAATAGATCTGCATCGGTCCCCCTGCTTCAGCCAGTTGGCTAGTCGAGGAGGACCGGTTTCTCTTACGTCAAGATAGCCAACCGTTGGGGTCAGGAACTTTCTGGATGGACTGAGGCGAGTGTGGATACAAAAAACAACATCCTTTGTTTTAGGTAGCGCGTTCTATCCAATGGACGGAACCTAATCTGGGTCGTGAAAGTAACTCAAAATTATTAAAAATGTGTAAGTTTGGCCTGGCGTGTCACGTTCGTGACGAATGCGTCCGCCGGATATTGTTGCCGACCCAACCACCTCCAGCGCTGGCGAACACTCACGGATGTCCCTAATGACAGGCGGCAGATTCTGCTAGCGAAGCACCTAGGTCAAAGCGGCAGGCGTAAGTCTGACAACGGGATTCAAAACGTGTTTGCATTTCGGCGTGATGTGGTTCCTGTTTGTCATATTAGGTAATGGCGAGTGATCTTCTCCACGGGCTCGTCAATACAAGGCGCGAATGACCAAGGGCCCATGCTGGATGGCAATGAAAAAGTGGCTCTGTTTTATGCATCTGTAATTCTCTCACTGATAGTGGGCAGTTTTAGATGTTTCGATGAAAAATTCTTATGGAAGAGAAATCCCCTCATGGTTCGTTCCCCAGTCAGGTTTCAATGCCTCCGTACTCTTTCCCCAGATACTCCTGTGTTTGAAAACCGGGTCGGAGGCCACGTCTTGTTGAGCACGGCCCTCAAAAAAGTGTTCTTCAGACGATTCTAGGCTCTGTATTAATAATAACCTTGGATGTCCAGCTAATCCAATGATTGCTTGTAGTTGGCGAATCGTAGCGGCAAATAAGGTTCACAACCAATGAAATGATGGAAGCCGTACTTGTCCGTACGATTGTGCATTGTAATAAAGTATAATAATGACGGAATGGCTGATCCAAAGTCAAGATAGAACGCTTTTCTTCCCTCTGTCTTTGTCTCTCTTCTCTCTAGATGTCAGAAGATGTCTAATATTTCGCTGACATTTGCGGCTTTGTCCCGAGCCAAGCCCATCTATGGTGGACCTCCGGCCTGTTCGACCCGCCCATGCCTACCGGAACGCAGAGACCATTGGACAATTCAGTACGGATACTTTTCAACACCGGCATTTTCGAGAGCCCGCTGATTCAGTACGTGAATCGCGGTCAGGGGGATAGCGGGGCGTAATTGCGACATAGCGGACCCGCTGAGCACCAGGGGACGAACAATTCCCGGGTGTACACTGAGGCATTTAACTTTGGAGACAGCTTGATTATTCATCTGTTGTCTTTTTTATGGCTTTGGGTGAGTGATGGCCAACATTGGAGCATCTGGAAAGACCCGAATCAAAGGCTATTGTACCCAACGGTTACATGCCGAATAGGACTATGAATAAACTCATACCTCCATGGGTTGAAGGCAGCTAAGACGGTCGCATCAACCCTTGATACTAAAGACACTGGGAGAAAGAAAAAGACATCATATCACGTACTTCGATGATGATATTGATTTACATGTTATTGTTTGGCTTGTAGGATATGAGCATGGATTTTAAAGAGAGTGGTCAAAAGTACCCAAAATTGAGGCTCATGATCGGCTCGCTGTGTCGAGGACCTACCTGCATGTACTCGATAGGACCAGAAGCCCAATCGGGCTCTTCGATGACACAAGTTGTAAATTTCATAGGGATGAAGCACTCTACTTTGAAACCATTCAAAACTTTCCAATAATATCTGCTTCAAAGGTAAATAAGATAAGGGCGGTCTAGAAAACTAGGAACGTCATAATTGCTCAAGTTTGAAAGTGGGAGAAAATACGTCATTATAGACCCAATATGCATATTGACTGATTTTTATCTTCAGCTCTTCAGTTGAAGCTTGTCGAGAGTTTTTTAGAGTGCCGGTACAAGAATCTAGGAGAGAAGAGGCTTCCCTCATCCCCCATATGCGAGATCCCTTTCCTGTTTTGTTGACGACATATACCCCCATGTGTGTCTCTTGTTATACATTGGTAATTTGTAGGATTTGTTATTCTTAGGAAGATTTTAGGTGTTAAATTGAAAGAGGCAAATGTAACCTACTTTTAGTGCTAGCTAGAAAGAGCCTCTGAGCTCTTGGGACATTGCGTATGATCCCAGAATCTAGAATGAGGACATTCTCTCCTATTTTATAAGCCATCATCTTATTAAAGTAGTCATGATCATGAATAACTTGAACAACATTGGTGCGACTCCGTTATGGAAATTTGGCGGGATACACTTTCAAGTTGTTTAGCACTCCCGCATGATATCATCTCTATCTAGTCAATTCCCACCGCCGATGGGACCTGCTCGGCTGCTGAAATACCGAAAAGTATTCAACTGATGATAGAGTATCTTGATTTTATGAAAAAAGTGCACACTAGTCTGGAGGCTGAGATGTTGGCCCGAAGCCCCGTAAGCAACCCGAAGTGTGTCGAACGTTAATGGCCACCAATTAGGTGGAACTCCTGCAAAGCGACTTCAAGCTTCCCGGAGAGATGAATATTCTGGCAATAAATTCGCAAAGCAATCCAATGGATTTCGTCAGTGGATTTTAGAGTTTAGCTAACTCTTGGCCTGTGGAAAGCCCATTCATTATCCAGTCATTTGTTCGTGGGCAAAGGCCCGGCTGTGATTTCGAGAACAGCAACACCATAATGTTCATTACTCCTGCCAGGTTGGTCACTTTGTGGGCATGCTTTACATATTCAGTGATAAATCGCGCTCTGTTCAGTGTTGAGGTGGTAATTGATTTTTCTAACATATGCACAATAACGCTTCAGTCTGCAAGAATTAAGAAAAACTTGGAAAATAGGAAAGTAGACGCCCAACTTCCCAGCTCTGGTCCAGTCTCCTTCTCCTTACTCCAAGTCATCCTCAGCATCTCTCTCCTCCAACTCCTCCTCGAAGTCTCTCTCCTCCAGCTCCTCCTCGAAGTCTCGCTCCTCGAGCTCCTCATCGTAGTCTCGCTCCTCGAGCTCATCGTCGAAGTCTCTCTCGTCCAACTCCTCCTCGAGAGCTCTCTCGTCCAGGTAGTCCTCGAAGTCTCGTTCGAGGAGGAGCTCGTCGAGATCACGCTCGTCGAGAAGCTCCTCAAGATCACGCTCGTCGAGAAGCTCCTCAAGATCGCGCTCATCGAGAATCTCGTCGAGGTCACGCTCGTCGATAAACTCCTCAAGGTCGCGCTCGTCCAGTTCCTCGAGATCGCGCTCGTCCAGCACCTCCTCGATAGCTCGCTCCACTTCGAGAGCAGGGTCACGGGCGAAAACCTCGGAAGCCTCGACTCCCTCGGCTCTGGCAGCGAGGTCTTGTGCGGCGTCGCCGGGGGAGGCGAGAACCTGGCTGAAAAGACCAAACCCGACGAGGGCGGCGGCGCTGAGTTGCTTGATGGCGACCATTTTGAAAGTGGCAGTGAATATGATTGATCGGTTGGACCGCGACTTGAGAAAATTGTATTAAATGGTGGAGATGGCAAAGCACGTAGACAGGCTCTGGTGTGATATGATCGGTGGATAGTCGAGCGGTGAGCTACGGGGCGGAGGAGAGAAGTGGTATATATGTCTTTTTCGGCACCGGTCTATATATAAAGTTGAAGATCCAAGCGCGTGATGCTAAATATAACATCGAGGCAAGTAAGCCAAGCCTGTGAATCCTTTCGGTGATGGATCATCCTTCTCAAAGACCCCTGCCGACCAGCATCGCCGTCCACACCCGGTCAGCGCTAGCCCTCAGTGGGCAGATTCCGCAATTGATCAGGGGCGCTGATATTACGATTCGCAATCCCCAGCCGTTTTATTAGAAGATGGGACTTGCCCGTTTCGGCGGATGTTGGCAGTGCCGCAATTTGGGGTCAGCGCACCAACCGCTCGCACAAGGAGCGCTCTGATTAATATTTTAATGTATGTTCTCGGCATTACCTGGTTGGGTCCCTAAAATTAGACAGGCAGCTGCAGTTGGCACATCACACGCAACACCAAGGCCCGGCCCTTGATGCTGCACGACACCAACGGAATCCTTCCAGTTGGTTGGCTCAGCCGTGATATGCAGTTGGTAGAAGCAATACCAACAGTGTTGTGGTATTCTATTGTTTTTTAGTTGTTAGACGTTGGTGATGCCAGTGCATATGCCATTGATAACATCCATGAATGGCTCAAAAATAAATCGGCCCATCACCAACAACCAACACTCGAGGAATCCGCATCGTCCCATGACAAGAGCACAAGAGCCAACAGCTGTTATGGGCATTCATGCAATTGATCAATTGAATGAGACAATGGCTACCACCCAAGCCAAGCTTCATTGTGACGTGGCACAGTTCAACTTATGATTTCAAGAATAGAAAATCATAGCGAACGTAATATGTCCTTTTGTATCAGATATAGCGACTGAGACTGGGTATTTTTTTGGGGCGAGGCTCGCCGCCGTCGCCAAGCATGTAGTCAATTGTTTGTCTGATTCTTAGGTGATGAGGATATGCATTTATTTGCCATCTGATGACCTCATTATTAGGGACTTTGCTCGGGACTTTATTCAGCGATTATTTTCTCCACCTTTCTAATTAATCAGAAACGTAAGCTCTTTGTCTGAGAAGGTGGCCTGTAGCCAAGCCGTGCCTCCGCTTGTAGTCAACTGACGGATGGAGATGGATGTCGTTGACCTTCTGGCTCCCGTCCGTCTCTTCCAATATAAGACGAGAATTGAATCTTGGTCTGTTGAATTGGAATATAGAGAGAAATATTCATACCCGTTCATAAATTCGCAGCAATGAAAGACAAACAACCTAACTCAAACCCGATCCATGATTTCCCGAATCCCGTTTTCTTGAAGAGGGTAGAACCCACGACGTGACGCATTCGCATGAATTCCGAACCCCGAATATCATACCACTTATAATCTACGCGGTCGGGAGAGAGAATTGATCTAGTTAAGTCAAGAGGTCGGGACGCTTCACAGTTTGAGTCAATAGCCATCATGGAAGTCCATCCACCTAAGAGAATCCTGCTTGTGGTGACAACAGGAGGATATACGCACGCAGGTGAGTAGATATAACTTCCTTAAAGTTATCAAACTTGCTGATAGACAGTATCCAGCACCTGTCCTTGAATTGGGTAAAGTGCTGGCTGATCGGGGCCACGCCATAGAATTTGCGACACTGGATGGTCAAGAAAAATGGACCAAAGGCTATGAATTCATCTCCCGCGTCCATTCACTGGGTCCTGGCCCTACTGAGAAGCAAATGGACGAGCATTACCTTCGTATGCGCGAATGGGACATGTCCAAAGGTCTTGGAAATTCCATGATCTCCAAGTATATGTTCGATTCTTTTTGGCCAATGACCTATCATGGGCTAACAAAGATCATGGACCAAGGCCCAGCCTCACGACCTGACATGTTGATCGGGGACTTTTTCGTCGATGCGGTCAAGGATATTCACGTGCAGTATCACGTACCGATTGCCATGGTTTGGCCACAAATGCCTATGCTGATGATGCCGTGTTCCTACATCCCAGGTCAACCGGGATTCCAGCTAGACGGGACACTCACCTCAGAAAACGCTTCCATGTGGTTACGCTTTAAGAACGAATGGGTTATAGTTCGTGCCCTCCCTCACATCCTCAAGTTCTTTAGCTGGACGAGAAGAATACGACGAAAGGAAGGCGTGAACTATGATCTGCCGGCTCCCTCAAAACCTGACTATCTGCTCTTTATCAACTCATTCTTTGGCCTGGAGATCCCCAAGGACCTTCCACCACTATGCGAGGCCATCGGCCCCATTCTAAGCGACGAATACCCACCACTGGATACTGTCTGCCAGAACTTTCTAAGCAGCCATGGCAAGGTCATGTATATCGCGCTGGGGACTCATATCATTCTGTCCAGCTCCGATACCGTCAAAATTACGACTGGTGTTCTTCGGCTCCTAGAAGAAGAGCTGATTGATGGTGTAATCTGGGCAGTGGGCAAGAGTGGGCGCCAAGACCTGAATATGAACCAGACATACGAGTTCCAAGGAAAGACTGTACGATTTGGTGATCTCGTTGAAGGAAAGCACTCGCGCTTTTACTTCCCATTCTTCGCCCCGCAGCGTGCAATTCTTGATCACGACTCAGTGAATATTTACTACACCCACGGAGGCGGATCCAGCGCCAACGAAGGCTTATTCCACGGAAAGGCCATGCTCTCCATGGGCATCTTCTCAGACCAGATTGCCAACACAGCACGCCTCGTCGGGGGTGGCGTTGCTGAGTCACTTAATAAATTCCACTTCACGTCTGAGGAGCTCTATACCAAGGCGAAAAAGATAATTGAGGATAAGGATGGTCTATTTGAGCGGAATGTTTTGAGGCTCAAACGCATTGCTCATATTGCGTCACGGCGGAAGTATCATGGCGCCGATCTCATCGAGGAGCTCATGTACGACACAGAGCTGCGCTACCAAGACGGCAAACAGATACGCCCGATGCATCTACAGACAGCAGATATGCGGATGCCATTGTACAAGGCTAGGAATTGGGATCTCATGGCAGTGGGGGCGGTTACCATCCTCGGGGCGACGGGGGCGAGTTTCGCACTGGGAAAATTGGTATGGACGCACAGTGGAGATTTCCTCCGTTGCCTAGATTCTCTTTGGAGAAAATAATGAGCCACTCCGTGTACGGTATCACGGCTATGTATTTCATGCAATGAGGGGTTTTGTAAAGCTTATCAATTATTTCAACCATAACTCGACTCATGACTTGAAGATAACAAAGAAAATAAGCTGAAAAGTGTCCGACAATCCACCTAAACGCGATGATTAATCTCTTTTTGGGGTTTGCCAACAAGCCCCGTCCAGAACTGGCCTCTCCCCGAGCGTCCCTCCACCCTTGACCTCCCATCCGATATTCGAGTACCATACGTCACCATATGGTACCATGTATGGATCTCTGTCTAGTCTGAATTCTACTATATGGTCCTCCGCCTTGGCCCCTTCAAAAGGAATTTCCAGTCGGTTCCATGTTGGGTAAGGCGTTTCGCCATCTCTCCTGACAGTCCACGCCTGCCTGATGACACAGGGGCCCTTTAGGGCCTCTGCGGCAAATTCCCTGATGACATTCTCCGGGATTGAACTGCCATCAAGCACAATCTCTCTGATATTGGACCGGGGGAGGTAAGATGGCCAGTCAAACCCCCCTTCCTGGTTCTGCGGCGTTTCAAGCCATCTCACACTTGGGAGTGCGATGAATGGAGCGATGCACTCAAAGTCTAAGCCATAGAAGCCGTTGTATGAATCCCCCTTTATATGCTCGAGACGAGAAAGGGGTTTACAGCCGAGGAGTGGTGCATCGGGTCGCACATGAATGCGCTGAGCCAACCTTGAAAGCCATGGGACCTCCACCATGCCACCATAGCACTCGGAAGAGAGTGTGAGGACAAGAAGATTTGGAAGATGGCAGACTAAAATAGCGAGGAGTGCCGAAGAGTCCAAATTATTGACATCGCTGAAGAAACTCTCCCGATACTCTGGGTGCTCGGGAATATCGAACCAGTCGGTGAAGCATCTTTGGGCCGCCTGAAGAAGGACTGACAGGTCGGAATCAGACACAAAGTCGCGTCTAGTACTCCCGGGCTCATTTTTTAAGCATATGGCAAGTGTCGTGTCTACTTTGAAGACGTCCGTGTCCAGCGCTTGGATGTAAGATCCAAAGAATGGCTCACGGAGTACCTGGAGCACTGGCGCAAACCAGGGAACAGGCCCTAGCTCGCAGAATCCATCCACTTTGAAGGTTGAAGCTCGGCGGAACAAGTCTCGCTGGATTTGGAGGCGGTTCTGAGCGACCTTGCGGGAGTACTGCGAGGTCAGTTGGAATGCCTCGAGGTCAGGCAACGGGAGGAAGGGAAGAATTAAATCCCAGAGCTCAGTGGGCAGTATCTCATAGATGGCAACCATGGCTGTGTACTTCTTCGAAAGCTGGCGTTGTTCGGGGGATCGACTCAAGACTGGGTGAGTGTTCGGGGTTCAGTTGAAAAGGGAGGGGATGGATGAACGTCACAGAAATGGCGGCCCAAAGGTGGCAGTGTTGGGCTCTAAAATATACGCATGAACTGATTAAGTAATCTCTGCTCAGCTCAGCTGTCTCAGTTCAGCTGAACCGGCTTTGCTTCTTTGAGTCTTGGTGCCAAGCTGGCGAGCGCAAAAAAATGACCTATCTCTTTCATGCGTTGTCATTCGGTTTCACCTTTTCGTATTCACGGTGTTGAGATGTCGGCTCTGGCATCTTCTATTGCTGTTTCTTTTTTTTCACTTTGTACTCGAACTCTCATCAGGATGCGTTGTCATTCGGATCCCTCGCTCATTGTACAAGTGGAAAAAGCTATTCCTTTGAGCGTCTTTGATGATCTACCACAACTTCCAAGGGCGCCGCTTTGAGGGTGGGAGAAGAGGAATATCACGTGACGAACCAATTGAGCATGTAGATGAGGACTAGACCCTCCCTGGATAATGGAAGTTCAGAATAAAATTCGCTTCAACAGATGCCTTGAAGCTGTGGCGATGTTGTTACGTGTCTAGTATTGACGTAGAAAGAATCTGTCCGGACAGATGGTCATGGGTTTAACCTCACGCTTCTATGCAACAAAAATAATAATCAATGTTGACTTCAGCTACTGCGCCATTTCTTTAATCCTCCTAAATGGGTTGCGGATTTCTGTAGTCAAGATGTTGGCCAGTTTCATTTTTGAGAACGAAGTCTTGCTGCAGGGAACTTAGGCTTAAGCCCAGTGAGGAATGACCACTAGTAAGCGATGCTAAAGGACTATGTAACTTGAGCTTTCTGCGACTACTATGGTAGCTTGTTTGAATTTTAGGTGGTCATTGGGGCTACAGTATCATCTATTGGCAGCTAAAATGATGATCACAGTTTGTTCTTGAAGCTTCCGTGTGACGGAGGAAATCTTTGCTCAATTCACTACGTAATCATCTCGTCCCTCTACCACCATCGACATTAAGAGCCTCCTTGTTCAATGAAAGCCAGAGCATTAGCTCGAAATTTACTTACGAGTCGCCATGTTGATGATGAAATCAGCTTCCTCCTGCTCCTGTTCTTCTCCCTTTACACTCCTCTCGCGGTCCTTTCTCGATCCCGTGGGCTTGGATCCAAAGGGCGCATCCATGTCTCCCGGCATCGAGATGTACGAGGTCTCGATGCTCTCTCCCATGCTACCGTGAACATCGATAGGGTTGGAATTGACAGCTAAGGTTGGAGCTGGGTTGGAGAATAGCTCACGGGCCCGGTTTAGAAGCGTCTTGGGTGGCGTTGGCGTTGGAGTGACAACAACCTCATGATATCTGCAGGCAAGAACCACCTCCCCTTTGTAAGTGCCTTTGATTTCTCTTTTGTTTAGCTTCTTGCCGCTGATGCTCAATGATACATTGGTCGTGGATGCCATGACGTCACTAGGAACGGTGGACTGAATTCCTCCCGAGGTATCCTTCTCGGCTTCTTTGTTCACCGACATGTTGACGCAGCTGATGAAGCCAGTGATGATTCCAATGGAAACGGGTCTATCCCCCTGGCTTTGACTCCTTGCCATATCCAATATGCCATCCTTGTATGTTTGAAGTTCTAACAACTCTTGGACCAAGTCTCGAGGATTCTCCGGAATTTCAACTCGTCGGATAAGAGTTGCGCTGTTGGTACTGTTCGATGAATTGGAGTGGCCACCCCACAACTTTAGGAGCTTGCTGAATTCAGCTTTTGCCTCGGCTCCGACGAGGTTATTTTCGAACCAGGAGGCATCCGTGCATTCGACTGCCTCGTTTGGGTACAGGCGTCTTGGTTCTTTGATCTGGTCCTTTGGTTTGAACGGGGCTTCGGGTCGGACAAATTGGAGTGGGCTATCAAGATATATGACCGCCAGACCTAAGAGGCGATCAAAGAGATCTTCCCCCTGGTCGAGCGTTATAACGCCACTGAGCAAGTGGTACGGCTTCTTTATAGCTGAACGCTGCACCATTTTGGATGAATTGCTTGGAGCAGAAATACGATGGAGGTCTTGTCGAAGCCAAATGTAGGGAAAGCGTGGTGGGTAAGGATGGAATGTGAACACTGAACTCTTGTAGGAGACAGGCGGTCCTACAGCTTTATACCTGTTTACAATATATGGCTGATTACCTCCGATAGGATAGACCGGTATTGGTTTCGTCATCCGTGAAATCCACGCATGAATGTGAAGTTACCGACCTCGGGAGAGTGTATGGTCCCTCACAATTGTGTAGGATGCAAGTAAGCAGGAGAGGGGGAAAGAATCGGACAATACGCCCCCTTCTCTTCAAGTAAAAAAGAAGCACACCCTCCCCGTGGCAGGATCTCGGCCACAGCGGCTGGCTACTATTGGTTTCTCATGCTACACAATGGGATTTTCAGCTGCTGATGCCAAGCGCGCCACAGCAGCATTGCCCCCAAGCCATAGTTATGCAGTCAGACCCGGTCGAGTCGTTCCCGGTGGTAGGATTCAGGCTGAGCCGCCTGAGTTATGCCCCGGTCTGCGATGACTGGCAGTTCATTGCAGAGCCTCGTCGGGATGGGGGGAAAGGCGTACCCAATGCCACCTAACTCTTTTGACTCCGCGCCTCTCCCTGGAGGATCGTCTGCTACATTCTAGGGCTCTCATCGCCAACCAAGGCCAAAGGCACAATGGATTCGTATGTTGAGGACCTTGAGGTGCTGGAGATCACAGTTGTGGAATATACAGCCACAGACACGGATACTATACGAACATGGGCAATATCAACTCAAAACCCTAAGTTTCCACAGAGCCGAGTCCACATCGACAAATTCGAGGATCCTTTCGAGAAAGGCCAATATGCGCTCCACGACGATTATCTGACACCCTCAGAAAAAAAAGCTGAGGCGCCAGCGGCCACGACGGACGATCCGGATATACACTGCCGAATTGAACTTTACTGCGAGAAGCTAGTTACGCAGCTTCGCCTAGAGAATGTGAAGGCGAAGAAGCTACGGATCTTCGTCAATGAGGACCCCCGGACCGAAGCCAAGAGCAGCATCCACTGCCTCCTCTGGGAGCTTCTCGAGCACCGCATTTGCAAGGACAAATGGGGGTACGACATCCAGGTCACACGCATCATCAGTTGCGTGAAGCCCAACGCAGTTTTGCCCCTGGCCCTCCGCGACGCGAGCCAGACGTGCCGCGTTCTGCTTGTCGTGGCTCGCAGCTGGCAGCTGGTGTCGACCTCTCACAACCCGCCATACGGCTACCTTGATATTCCCCCAAAGACCGTCCACCATACTCTTTGCAAGCTGGTCGAGTACCTCGACCAGAGTTGGCGGCCGAGCCGCCTCAAACTCCACGTGGTCCGGCCGGGAACGTTAGAGGAGCTCAAGCGACATCTTGAATTGGCAAAGGGAAAAGGTTTCGAATACGATATGATCCATTTGGACATGCATGGGAGATTAAGGCAAGAAAGTAAACTCTAACAACTCTGAATATTTGGCGTCAAAAAGCTGACATCTGTTGCCTGTTTGATTATCCTTTAGTGACGGCCGACCGGAACTCCTGTTTGCGAAAACATACGAACTAGCGGGTTGTGATAGCGATGACGAGTTGATTACAAACGACAAGACATATAATTTCGTCAGTGCCAGCGATATCGCCGGTGTTTTGAGAGATTTCAAAATCAGCGTTGTCGCCCTCAGCGCCTGCCAGTCTGCCTACTCGCAGACAGGACTGATGAGTAACCTGTGCCATGTATTCCTCGAACAAGGAGCTTGTGCAGTGACAGCCATGGCATTCAAGGTCAGGGCTTTGGCCGTGCAGAATTATTATCGTGGGTTCTATTCAGCGCTGTTTATCGGCGACGCCTCTTACTCGACCGCATCGGTGATGGCGAGGGCATACCTTTGCAAGGAGGGAAAAAAGCCCAGGGCAAGGAACGAGCTTGATAGCACAGGAATCCCGCACCAGTTCTTCCCCAAGAGAGTCGACACTATGGTCAAATCCTGCTTCCAACCGGCCCTATTCAGACCGCTGGGTACGATAAACCTAGCTCTGACTGGTGGTCTCTTCAGCGCCCCCCTTTTAACAGGCTCCTGGAGCCTCGGGGCGCTGGTGGCTTTCATGTTGTCTTTGCTATGGCTGGACTACAAGGCGTTGTGGCGTAGGCTTTGGTTTCAGTTCTGGCCACCGTCAATGGAGGAGTTTCGAATGATGCTTGAGGATCACTCTGCGGAAAAGAATGAGAAGAAACCAAAGCCTAGGAAAGAACCAGATCCTGAGCTGTCAATTGGTCTCATGGCTCTAGAGGATCAACTGATGCAGAACAAAACCGTGTTCATCCAGGTTGACCGGCGAAATCACGAGAGCCATCATATGACGGAGCTCAATTACATCACGAGGATTTGGAAGATGACAGAATTGGTCAACGAAGTTCAGATCTACGATGCCGAGAGCTTTAAGAGTACATTCTGGTTTAACCTGACTTACTACAAGACACAGGTCTATGACTCAGTCCGGCGTTGGTTGAAGACTTGCACATCGTGGAGTCAGTCTGAGCGCAGCGGCTTAGCCAGGCCACCACGACTTGCCTACGGCTCGCTGAAGGAAAATGCATCAGTACTCGTCTTCCACAATTTTGACACTGTCACCAAGTCCGATGAGATTAAGTACAACATTAGCGAGTTTATCAAGCGCCTCTCGGAAAACAGATGCATCTACATCATCCTTCTCGGAACCGATGAGGCCGATTGGGAATCTAGCCCAATTGACCCGGGAATACATACTTGGGCGAGAGGGACTATGATGCGTGCTAGGCACGTCCTGCTACGAGGCTACCACTAATCCTGGTGGCCCGACTCCGAGTGGTGCTCCTGATACGAGTTTCTCGGCCTTTCTCTTCCACTTGTCGGGTGGAAATAAGTTTCGGGGGTGGGGGGGCTGATCTTGGGTTGATCTTTTCTTCTTGGCATCGATAGGCAGTCAATTATGACTAAATTCTTTTCTACAAAGTACAATCGTTGCCTACCTAAGCGGGCGAAACACAAGGAAAAGCCACTGTGTTTGTATCTGTTGGATGAGTCAGTTGATACGTATCGGATAGCCATCGGGAGTGAATATGAATCCATCTAGTAGCAGATAAACGTAAAAACAGGTTTTCCTACATCCAGCTGATCACATGCTAGACACATAGGCGTCGCAGGATGCACTTTCCCATAAGCAAGTAAGCACAAGTTGCGTTTGAACAATTGATAATCAACTCAGTAGGATTACAGCGGCCGACCTAAGACATGAGCAAGAAATAAGCAAGCTGAATGTGCAGAAGACAAGAACCAACCGGAACCAAGGACAGGCGCCAACAGAGGATCATGTGCCCAACGCCACACTTACGTGAGGTGCGGCAACCTTTTTCTTTTTCTCCCGATGCTCACTGCCAAGACTTCTGGTAAATACTACAAGTGATATAACAAGAGATATGCCTTGCACAAATAGTGGTGGGGGGGTGAGTCAAAGAGATTGGCTTCAAATGGACCACTCAGGTGTGTCATGCATCGCATGTGTGGCACAGCATAATCTTCCGTGCTCTGGGTATATCTCAGAACGTCCATTTAGATCTCAGAACGTCCGTTTCCCTCAGCCTCATACGACATGTGTCTCATTCAAAATGAATGGTTTCTGGCATGATCGTAAGTAGGGAGACTAGACAATTTGTGGCTAACAGATGGGCAAGTTCTTAACCTCCTGTTCAGTATACTTGCAAGTATAAGTTCAATTAGGTGAGAGGTACCTCACTCAAGAAACAAGCATCTATTTGGCCATGGACGTGGCTACTGCTGGGCTGAGCCTTAGCCATCTGCTCCTTGCCGGTCTTGGGCGGATCAAACGTCCATCTCTTTCTCAATCAAAGGATAACCATGCCGTATCTCGTCCGGCATTTGAGTTGATCCAGCATTCATCGCCTCAAAACCCCCGAGTGGATCTCGTTTTAGTGCATGGCATCGGCAAGATTCAAGGGGCGTCATGGGAGTTTGCGGGCTTGGATGCCAGCAGCCCGACTCATCTCCACGAATCTCTGCAAGAATCCGCCCAATTTTTTCTGTATTGCTACGACTCGGATCTCAGGACTCCGGAACACCTAGCAGCCAGGACTCTTCTAGGCGAGGCAAGCCATCTTGTGAGCCTTCTAGTCCAGACCAGAAAAGAACAAGACTGCCAAGATCGACCTATCGTTTTTGTTGCCCATGGGCTGGGCGGATTACTTTTGAAAAATGCCCTCATATACGCATACAAGTCGAGGAACCAAAGTGAGCGCCGGATATACGACTGCACTAGTGGAATTCACTTTGTAGCTGTGCCCCAGGCCACTTGCCCGGCTCGGCTCGCAGATGAATTATGGTCTCATGTTCACCCTCTTCTTGCTAAGCGATCCAAACCTGGGACTTTGGACGTCTGGAAAGAGCGGAGGTTCAAGAAAAGCATGTCATCGCTTTGTTTCTCTCTCTCGCGTTTTGAGCCTTTGGCACGGCATGGAGAGAAAAACAACATCCGTATTCACTACGAAGAGTCATATCTGAGCCCTGACGCTCTCAAAAAGATTATCTCTTCTTATTTATCAAATAACCAACAAGAGAAATTTATAATCACGACTCCAGGTAGGAATATGTCTTCCACCCCACTTCTTCTGGGGCTCTATAAACAATCGTCTGATTCATTTCCGCTGACACGCATGCAATGTGAAAGAACCCCAGTCACTAGAACAGTACGGATTCTCAGTGGGTACAAATTCTAGGAACAATCCTGGGGGTTTTCATCCTTGGGAGGAAGAAAAGGAACGCTGTCTTCTCAACTCATCCTCTCAGCCACTTATCGTACACCGAAACTGCAAACCGCAAAATCTGCTTCTCGCGCATAATTCTGCCGCAAAAAAGCAATACGACTCCGTATTCTTGATCCAGGCCAACAGCAGAAAATCCCTGGACGAAAGCTTTGTCAATATATATAGGCACTTGCAGGAGTATTACAAAAACAAGACTGGGTCCGCAGAGACCGCCGCCAAACTCATTGGCCTTGATCTCCCCTCCTTGGATGATGAACAAATACTCTTGAACGATGTGATGACCGCTTCTGTCATAGAGGTCGTCAAAGGATGGTTGGCTCATCCATCGAATACAAGTTGGTTTCTTGTCTTAGAGGACGTAGCAGGAAGCTTGGCTTATCTGTCTGAAGACCAAGCTACGAAAACCCTAGAGGAGTTAGGCGGGGTCTTGCGGCCCATTTGTGACTTCTTAGGCGAAAGTAGACGTATGGTCTGCACTTTACGAGAAGGAAAGACAATTCACGACAAGCTCAGGTTCTGGGGTCCGCAATGGGTTGCATCCCAGCCTAGAGAGGGCTATTTATTAGAACAACCAGATTCCTCCGCCAGTGAGCTCATTTCCATCCAGCCGAATCTCGAAACAGTGCTAACCTCTGTCAGTTCCGGGTCCGTCCTCTGGTCTATGTCAAAATCCTGACATTAATGGCCTCGAAGATCTCCACTCAAAGATTCTCAGCATTTGTCTTGTAATTTCGTTTAATAAATCTCGTAAACCTCGTGGAGATCTCTCCGACAGAACTCTCATCTCGGACAGAACTCTGTTGGATTTCTCTTTGCTTCCCCTCTTTCGGGAGAGTTCAACAGCGTTACCTGATGCCATCACATTTCTCAAAGACGGGCACTTTTTGCTACCAATTGGGAGATCGGAAGAAGATCCTCTGGTAGTTAATGATTATCTCGTACAAAACCAGCGCGATATCCTTGCTAGAATAGGTCCTCGGTCAAATATGCCTACACCAAAACTAGCGGAGACCGCCTGGGGCTGCTTGGGACAGTCTCTTAACGATCATAAGCCACTGGAGGGGCTGGACCTTGGCGCACTCCTGGTGGGCAATTGCTCAGCAACAGCCCAGTGGTGCAGCACGTCCAAGCTGGAGCTCGTGCAGTTCGATACCAACTGGACCGAGTTAGGGAGGCTCTGTGAGCGCCATTCAAACTATGAGACCGCAGCGGAACTATATGAGGCTGGTCGCAAGAGACAATGCGAAATTTACCCGGGGCCTAACATGTATCAGGATTATTTTAAGGACAGCATTCGGGTTTGCCATACCTACATGCTGGCAGGTTCTCAGAGGGCCGAGGAGGAGATTCAAAAGCTTTGGGATAAGGTTGAGAAAACCAACTCGGTCTCTCAATCTTTAAAGTGCGAATTGTTGGTGTTAAAGGCAGATCTGGCAAGGTCCAAAGGTAACACGCACGAGGTGGTTAGCATTCTAAGTGACATCCTGTCCATGGACACACTATCCCCAACCGAAGAAAGGCTTGATTATACAGTCATTTCGACTATGAAAAAGCTTTCTAGTTATCTTAAAATATGTCGACACGACGATAGCGCCAGCTTCCTTCTTGAGCGGTGTCTACTCTCCTGCGAGAACCAGCGTTCCATCAACAGGCCGACCACGCTGTCCTTGCTAAAGTCTCTCGCGGATATGTCCTTCGAGCAAGGCGAGTTGAGACGAGCAGAGGACTACTATACCCAGGCTCAAAATCTGGCGGAGCAATGGCTGGGTCGTCAGCACCCCGAAGTTGCAATCCGCCAAGCTATGTGTGGCGTCACCGCAGGCCTGCGTGGGCACCATGGGGAAGCAATGGAGATCTTTCGCGAGGCAGTGCAGCTTGCCAGGGAGACTTTCCCAGAGAACCATCGCTTTGTTGTCCGGCTTCACCTACGGTGGGCGCTCTCCATGGCCGTCGAGGGCCGGTATGCCGAAGCGAAAACAAACTTGAACAACATCCTGGAGGCTCTAGATCAGACAATCAATGTCGTTGACCCGCAATTATTACATCAGACTCTAACAATTTTGAATAAGTATTTCTGGACGAAGAAGGATAGGATAGAGCTGGAAGCAATATGGAATCATGTTCTTGAGTCGGATGCTTTTAGTTCTAGTAGTTGGGCAAAACTGTCATTAGAATCAGCCGATGGATGCTTCTTGGTTTACCCGAGCTCTACGGATAACTCTTGTAGCGACACTACGGCGTATTCGCGTGCTTTGGATAGTGGTGAGCAGACCTAGTCAGGTTGCTTGCCGAGGATATTGCACTTATCATCGTTGTCTTATTCAGGAGTTCGCGCAATACATTTGCCAAGAGCGAAATCTTTTCGTTTATGTCCAGGTCTCCGTAGAGGCATCGCTAGGAATACGGCAAGGCCTGGTAATGACTACCTAATTATGCTTGTCGAAATCACATGTCATTCCCAATTACGATCAAAGCTCTTTGGCTGCTGCAGTATCTCTCGCAGGGTTGCAAGAAGCCGCCTCCCTAAAATCCTTATACTGTGCTCACTCCAGCGATGGATTCTTGAAATGTAGTTCCGAAGATTAGCCAACTTCTTGAGTTAAGAGCCACTGTCTTCAACGAAAGCCAATACTAAAGCAAGCATATGTTCTATAATAATTAATTATCGGAGGCTTTCAAGCCCCTTTTTCAGGGATTGGCACAACCCTTCCACAAAGGCCTCCTCATCTTGCTCGGCTATGTTCAATGCACCCTTCTGCCAAGTTACAGTGTAGATGAGACCCTCCCCGCCCTTTATGGCCGAGAAGTTGAAATTAATCGGGACGCCAATGGCGGATGCGGTTTGCGAGAAAATAATCTTGGTTATCTTTGCCCCAGACCGGTCCGGATGATGACCGATTTCGAGCGCCCCAAGGTTGCTAAGCTCGAACGAGCACTCACGTCGCTGTCCAAGTTTCCCTAGCATCCACATACGCACGCTCATGACAAATCGTAGTAACCCGATGGCTTGGTCCCGTAGCCTTGATGCATTCTCTGCAAGTTCTCGAGTGGCGTCCCGTGCGACAGCCCAGTCGCTGTCCGAGAATGTGTCGTTTTGAGAACTGGAACGAGGGTAGATTGGATAGGCTGCAGAAGCCATATTTCCCATCTGGTCAGCGGAAATGCCAACAGCAGGTCTCATGTTGAGGACAGTCTGTGAAACAAAATTGGTAATCTTGGGATCTGGAATAGCCTTGCTCAAGGCACCGACGATGAGGGCCTGTAGGATGGCCGTGAGTTTAGCGTCGTGATTCCTTGCTGCTCGCAGGGCGTTATCCAATACTGGGGCTTCAATCTCCTTGACTATGATCCTGGTAGCCAGGTTTCCTCCCCATTGGTCATTAGGACCGCCAGTCCAGGTCCCATTGTCGACGTGTGAGGCCGCATCATGGATGCCAAACAGTCGCGCAATGAAAGCTGGTAAGAAGCTGGCGATGAGCGGTCCTAGGAGAAATCCCCAAGATATGGGCAACCTTGCAGGCGTATCGAATGGAGGCGCGAGTAGTTTGAGTGACGCAGGGGCCGTTTCTGAGGCTGTCCCTGGCTTTACCCTGTCACCTTCTGCTAAAGCTTCAAGGAATGTGCGATGAAAGGCAGCCCCGGACGGCCCATCTCCAAGGACATGGGAGTAGGCGAACGCGACGAAGCAAGAAGATGTTTCTTTCAAGGGGAGCACAACAATGCGCCATGGAGGTGTGCCGTCTGCGAATGGACGATCAAGTTCTGGAGCAAGTGCTGCCTGAATTGCAGCGGCTACATTTTGATCGCTGGGGGCCAGGAGGGAGACATGCTGGGATAGCTGCACAGTGGGAATCTGCTCGTAAAAGGGCTTGTCTGTTTGTATATCGCGCACAACAACGCTGAGAAAAGGATGCTCCCGGACGCAGCGCCTAAGCGGGTGGAAGAAGGCCTCAGGCTGGGTAGGAGACCCGAAGTCGCTTGGCAACTTGTAGATGGCACCGACGACGACGCAATTGTACAAACCAAGAACCTCGCGAGCGATGCAACGCTGTTCACCAGGGCCTGCAACTCGATGTCAGCGCATGATGCCACATGTCAGTGAGGGATTGGGCTCGGCGTACTAGCAAATCGCTGGAATCCAGGGTTGGTGGCCATTTGGGAAGGATTTTGCCACAAGCAGTAGATGGCCTTTCTAGGAAAAAGCCTTGAGGAGCGGAATTATTGAGCAGATATCATTGCTGTTGATGGATCGTTTTAGTTAGCATGGCACTTATCAGGGCACGTGGGCGAACGACTGGAATGAAAAGGGGCAAGTGGGTGACATTGAAATTGAGACACTCAAACATTAAGCTGCTTATTGTCAAGTCTGCGATCGGTATTATCAGATTATTGAGTGCTAATAATACATACCACAGAGATAATATAGCAGATATTATTACTTAATTTCATTTAATATAACTGAAGTTCTCTGTTGATTAGAAAGTAGTCTGTTTATAACCATCTCTTCCATTAGGTGTCTCATTTCTCCTGTCACCCACTTGGGGGGATAAATTGAGGCCAACCACCTACCCGGGAGGGTGTTTTGGCTGTTTGGGGACGGACAAATTAATTATAAGTACTCTTAAAAATATGCGATTATATCATTCAGAGATCTCGACGTTGAGCAACACCCGCCAAGCCGCCAGGGTGGCTGGAAATATCAAATTAGCCAAATCTGTCTGACGTCGTTGCAGCGAATCTGGTGAGCTCCACTGAGAATACAGAGACAACCATGGTGGCACACTTGATGCATTGTTCATGACGTAGGAGAGATGGTAGACTCACATTTCTGGTGGTTTGGTGGCGGCGGCGGCGGCGGCGGCGGTTGTTGTTGTTGTTCAAGAGAAGAAGAAAAGAGAAGAAAAACATTGTTCATATGTCCATACGAGTTAAATACCGTTTGATATGTTCCTTCTAAAAACATCGCGTCTGTAGCTGATAATGCTAGAGCAGGAGCGACAACTCAACGCTTCAGCGACGCGGGAAGAGGCGAACACGTCTTCGATTCCATCCTTCCATCCAACCAGGCAAGGCACCGAGAGATGTCCACGGTACCTTGTTTACGCGGACCATGCCTTCCTTAGTAAACGTCCGAGGAATCAATCTCTGGTAACAAAACAGGCAATATGGCGGTTCCGAGTACTGGAAGCTGCTCAGATGGTTATCCCACCTGCAGCATCACCTTTTTCGCGCCGACGAGACTTGCCTTCTACATCTTTAGTAAGGATGTAATGCTTCCAACTAAGATGTTTATCTTTTACCCACGAGAGCGGGTGCCAAATGCCAATGGGCCGACAGCCGAATCATGCTCTGTTTGGCAGTTTGGCTGCATCGCGATCTAGTTACGCGTTCACTCATTGCCTTAGAGACACTTGAGAGATCGGGCAGAAGTCTGCTGAGAGAAAGCGTTCTCGCCAGGCTTGCCTCCATACTCCCCAAAAGTCTAGAATCAGTCAAACCGGACAGTGTTTCTCGTCTCCGCGTTTTAGCTCCACACGACAAAGTTACTCCAGGCATGTCAGGGAAGAGAAAGAAAATGAAGTTCAACAGCAATGAAGCTGCCAGAGCAAGACAACTCGACCCAATGAATACAAAAGCTTGAAAATATAGCCTCCTTTCCCAGCCCGCCCAAGATATAGTCATACGGCAGGGAAATTCTACTCCAGGCATGTCACGCCCGTATCTTCTCCCAATTTGGCTTCGCTGCCCCCTCCAATCGGCCATGGCACCGTGCCCGATGTTGCCCCCTCTATCGTCTCTGTCTCCTCCCGGCTTCGGCCAGAGAGTCGAGAAAGCCATTTGGCTTGAGCTGGATGAGTGTATATATATCGTTGCCAAATCACCCGTTGGTCAGTGTCTGTCCAAGCACACACCCGATGCTGCTCGCATCTTGTGCTCTATCTGAATCTGTTGTAGTGAAATAGGTCGAAGAACCTCAGTTATAAGCTGCAATTGAATAATTGCATCTCCATGTGATTGGATATCCTTGCCGCAGCCAATAGCCTCCTTAGTAATAGTCCATTCGAAAGCAGAGCGACGCATCTGCCAAACAGACTTCCACGACTTTTTCACATTAGACTCGAAGTCCATGTCCCATGTCGCCCTCCAAGTAATACCATGATCTCTTTGGTATCGAAAGACTGCTGCTACTCCCTTTCTTCCATTCCATATTTCCATAACTCGCAGCTTTGGCATCCTCTTCACCGCACTTGCGGCTAATTCAAGCATACTGCTTAGCTCGGTTGTACTTGCATCGGGCATAAGCAGGTTTGAAGTCAAGCTAAGGGAGGTAAGAAAGGGCCAATTTGTATGCCCGGTAGTAATGGTGAAGAAGTCAGTGGCATCGAGTATAAAGGATGCGGATAAAGTGTCAAGCTTCAGGCTGGCAAGGCCAATTGCTCGACCCACAGCGGAGGATGGGATGCGAAATTCTTCAGCATAGTAAATACTCGCTGGATATTCTTGGTTGAAGTTCTCGAAAAGTACAAGTCGTTTGACATTTGGCAGCGACTTGAACATGCGCTCGTACGCTATTGATTATTTCAGAACTTTCTCCTTTCTCTCACGTAGTATAGTAGGAAGAATAACTTACCACTATCTGTAAATCGCTCAATACCGCTATACCATTCTCTCCAAGGTTCATGATGAATATCTTCAAGCCTGGGAAACCGAGAGAACAGCCTCTCAAGGGCAGCTGGTTTCCATCGCCGTCTAGTCTGTTGACGTAAATGGATTCCTGTTACTGCTGGAATAAAAGGGAGTTTGCTCCACCACTCAAATTCTTCTTCTTCTGAATCAAATGGACCCTCTCCCATGATTTCTTCAAAAACTGTTTCAATGGCGTACAACTCCGGGAGAGATTCCTGACAAGCAGCATTCCAACCATGCTGTTTATCACTAGACTCATGTAAAGCTCTTTGCTTTTCTTTGAGATATTGGTCAAAGTTTTGAATAGAAACATCAGGTTCGAAAGTCAGATATTTGAACCAGTGTTCTGAATCGCTCGGTGAATAGATGCTAATATCAAGCATTAGATTGGACGTGTCTTGCTCCCACGTACTAAGAGATGAGAATAAATTTTCGATGCATGTTGTAACAAGACGATTGTCTTTATATGACAATCCATTTATTTGGCCCTTGCACTTCATGCAATCATACGTTTCAAGCTCTATAGCAAGGTATAGAGACTTGACAAGGTGTCGATTGCGGTGCGTTATTTGGTTCAGGTCTGCAAGACGAGAAACTGTCAATGTGATCCGAGAAAATATATGCGGTTCGATGACACTCTGCCATTCTCGTGATACTGTGACAAGATGGGCTAAGCGACAGCCATCCGATATCAAGGCATCTAGGACCATGAGGCGGATTTCTGGGGCTAGGGAGCTCCAAGTGGCCACCTTGGCTGGGAAACCCTCACTGTGTTGTTGTCTTTCATTGTGTTTAAAGGTTAAAAAGCTTTTTTTTGTTAACGTTATCCTCTTTCGAACACTGATTTCTTCCACGCCTTTCCCTCCCTTCTTGCAGTTAATCTTATTGCCTCTGAGAATAGGCACTGAGATATCGTTATCTGCCATGATCCTGATCGTCTGGATAAACAGCGAAAGCTGCGGGTGTGTCAGTGTCAGTGCTCTGGCCAAGGGGCTACTGGTACTCGCTGGGCTGGTTGGTATATTCGCGCTTGGTGTGTTAAAGTGTTGAATTGGCGTAAGACAAATGAAAGAAGCTAGGTGAAGAGGGCGGCTTTAATTGTTATTCGACGAGTAGTTCGTCCTGACGGCAAGTGAGTTATCAGCATGAACGTTTATCAAATTTTCTGCCGTATGGCTGCAGCCTTGGGCTAGCGAAGCTTTTATTATTAACCTTTCATATTCATTGTGTTGAGTTGTTGGGTCTGACATCTTCTTTTTGTTTTAACTTTATATCGAACTCTCTACGGGGGAGGAAATGACGAGCTAATGAAAAGAGCAATAGGGGAACAGAGGCGGACGAGACAAAGGCTCTTCGTATGTCGCAAGTGAACGCATTGGGGGAGAATGCTCAGTAACAAGGGCAGCGTAGAATCAGCAGCATTGTGGGCTTTATATACTTCATGTCTGAGACAGGGTTAGGGCTGGGCCATGACTCTACAATGCCGGTGACTTAATGCGTTGCATGGGCAACATCATGATCGAGGCCCTTAGCTCAGACCTTAAAAACCAACTACAGAGAGCTTCAATGGTGTACTGATATGGCTTGGCCACCCCTTACGTAACCGTGCAAGCACACAAGGAGATTGTACGAGTACATGAGGTAATCATGAAATATACAAGGTGAATTAGCTTCTAGCAAGGCCGGAGGGTAAAACATCAATTATCATTATAGCCTAATTATGTGAACCTGCGAGCCCTTATTACTGCTTCATTAGCGAACAAAATTTCGTGAAAGTGTAATCCGGTATCAGGGAGTCTCTTCCTCGAGCTCTATCTACATGTACACCTTCACCTTCCCAACGAGACTCGCCCGTCCCCCTGCATTTTACCCGTCCACAAGCTGGCGAACAGCAGCAACCAAGCTGTGCCCTTCATTAAAAAATATCTCACTACGGAGAAGATCTCAGATGGCAAATGGGAATATCCCTTATTCATTCATTATAACTACTTATTCATTGACAACTAGACTGGAAAGTAAAACAAAAGTCCCCCGCCATTTCCCACTCCTACTCCCACCACTATTTAGTACAACTACTATGTAGAAATGAAACTTAGTCGGGTCTTAGTTTCAGACTGCTTTTTTCAGCAGACTTACGTCGAGTAGTTTTTCGTGTTGGAAACTTGAGGCACAAAGCACATCTCAATCCACCATTGCCGTTTCGGATGAATGGTAATTAGCCTAGTACTTGAATTAATAATTTGAGATAAATGTATGATCTTTCTGACCTGGGTAATTAGCAATGGCTCGGATATTTACTCTAGGAATATTGTCATAGGATAGGTGAGTTGTTGAGTAGGTTGAAGCCAATGTATTAATACTTCTGGATCTGAACCGTATATCATTCATCTGTTGTTGATGTTACATCGCGTCTTAATAGGTAGCAGTACACTGTGGAAAGAAGTATATTCTTGATCTTTCTTTTCCTTTGCCTATTGCGAAGGCCTGTGAAGTCTTATGTGAAGGGGAGTGGGATTTGGTTCTAAATGATGGACAACGGGCTGAAATATCAATGACGCTACTTCGGTTTATGAAAATCTATGATTTCGATATCGCCTTTTCCGAATGGGGCGAGGATTGGTATTAGGTGTGGTATTTATTGTTTGGATGGATGGTTCCTGTCAGGTATCTTTGCCTGACGTGGCCTCAGCGGAGTGTGGAGGAGACCCTTGACCTGGTTGTGCAGATGGGACATCCTCTCGTAAGTAAACCACGTAATTTCCAACATAGTTGGCTATGATTCCAATACCCTCGAAAATATTGGAAAGCGGTACAATTGGAGCTGGCATCTCGTTTTTGAATTCTCGTCTTGGATTTGTGTCGGATGAATAGCCAAGGAAGGGAGGTGTTTGGTGGATTTTTTTGTATGTTCACTGTCATTGAAATGATACCTAGGCAGTTATTTATGCGTTAATTTTTTCGGTCCAATGCAACCCCAATCCCCTGCCGATTCTTGATTCCTCCTTCGGATGCGGCAATGCCGCAAGCCTGGCAGGTTCTGGAGTCATCAGATCACATGAGCGCCCAATGGAGGTAAGCAGAAACACAGCCCACTGAGCGCCGCTCGATCTCCGAACGGAGCAATAGAAATGTCCTCAATTAAGTAATAAGCTTAGCAATAAAATAAGAATAGTTGATATTATAATAAGAAATGTGCTCCGATCTTACACACGAATTACACACACCAGGAGGAACACATAAAATGAATCACGCAATCTGAGACCCTTTAGCGACCCCCACAGTCACATTAGGCTCCTTACCACCTTCAGTCAAAGCGACCACAGCCGGTTCGTTCAGTAGATCCCAAGTCTCAGCCAGGGTTACGTCCCACCGGGTGTGATACAGCTGCTGGAGCGACTTGGCACTCGGGCTGTTGCGCACAAACTCATCGGACTTCTGGTCGGGAAATATGAGATGTAGGGCCCAATATAGAAGACCACTGACAAGGAAACCAAACAGATAGTTCAGATAGTAAAGCTCTGTGGCTCCATCAGTGACTGTCACGGATGTATTGACTGCAGCAATGAACCCGGGTAAGGGTGGTATAACGCCAGCAACCCACTATCGTATGAAAGTTGTTAGCTTGTGGTCAAATAGAGAGATTGGGGTTACTTCGACCAAACAAACGTGAATCGTGCCATCATTCGATCACTTGTTGAGACACTGGGGTAGGAGGCTTATAAGACAAATCACTCACGGATATGGGGGCACGCCAGTTTACTCCCTTGGTATACCAATATGTACCTCGAGAATCACCACGGTACAAGTCATCCACGTTGACCTTCTGCTTGCTAACCAGGAGGTACTGGGAGGCCATGATACCTGTCATGGGTGCAAGGAAAATACCGTAGCTTGACAAAACAGTGAGGAAGATGGTCGCTGTGTTCACTAGGCGCCATGGATTGACAATGGGACTCAGAATCGCGACGACGAACGCCCCTCTGCGAATATTGATGTACCGTGGAAACACAGCCGAGAGGTCAATGCCCCCGGCAAGTGCATTCCCCGGTATGCTGCTTCCAATCTGAGATATGCAGAGAGCTAGACCGGAAAAGAACAGAGCAGCCCTTGTCCCAGCGGTGGGGTTCTGTTCAAGGAGGCGAACAAAAAGCGTGGGCGGGTTCCAGATGGCCTCGCCTCCCATCCGTTCCTGGGTAGCGGCTGTGACTAGAATGCCCAGAACTGAGGCAAAGATACTGTACAGAGGGTAAGGAAGAACTTGGCCCCAGATGGCATCGCGGGGCTTGCGGGCGAAACGAGCGTAGTCATTCTGGTTAAGAATGCCGGCAGCGATGGAGCCGACAGTGGACATGATGCCCGAAATCATCAACCAAACGGTGCTGTAGGGCCCGCCTGTAACAGGTAGAGTGGCAGTCGAGTCAAGTGTGCTTCCGAATCCTGAGGGGCCCATGGTAGCCAGAGCCCAGATAAGGAGGACAATGAAGAAGACCAACGTCACTGCGCTGGCGAAATAGAAGAAGTTCTGAAGGCGATGAGGTCTGATACAGAGGGTCGGGAGACTGATGATGGAAAAAATGAAGTAAGCGAGAAACTGGGCCGAAGTCATGCCTGTCTCAGCGGGTATCGTGTTTGGGATCCGTTGCTCATAATTTGGATCCCAAGAAAGCAGAATCAAGTATACGCACTCGCCGCCAACCCATGATTGAAAGCCATACCTATATCGCGTCGAAGTCAGAAGTGATATCGATGAGGAGATCTATCCGCGTGAACATACCAAACTATGAAAAGGTCGATGGGTTAGCTTTGACATGGCGAATTGGGTACATATATGATTGAGTAGACATACCGAGTGCAAGGAAAACTCTGTTCCAAATGACAAACTGGGAGCCCCAGACACCCCATACTGCTCGACTATAGACAGAGAAGCCAACTGTGACGAAAATGATTGGTTAAGATCAAGAGATCAAGATATAGAGTGGGCTGCTACATACCGTGGTAATAGGCCCCGGCAAGGGAGCTGAGGACAAGCGCAGTGGTGGCAAGAATGTTCCCGATAACAATGGCTAGTATACGTGTCAGGTGAAATGGATCTTTCATAGGGTGATGGTTTGGTTGAAGGTGTACATACCAATGATGGCCTGCCACCAGGTCAGACCAAGTGGTATCAGAGCACTGCCGGTGAGGAAGGTCGCGATGTTGCAATTGATGAGCAGCCCTATTGGGTCATGTCAGGAAAAAGATTCCGTGGTTTGAATGTGGTCGAAATGCATAGTGATATTAGGTCATACAATAGTTGTGGAAAGTAAGAAAATTCCATGTGCGTCTCTCAGTCTCAATCGGGCGCAAGTCGTCATTCTTTGCGCGACAACCATGATAAGTCAGTCCCCAAAAATGCAATAAAACACGAGAAACATGTTCTATGAAGGGGAGGGAGAGATAGAGAACATACAATCCACCGTGAGCCGTGGGGCAGCTCAATGCGCTTCAGCAGCGATTGCAAAGTCATGATGAAGACGAAGGGGATAAATAGGGGTAGGGGAGAGAACTGTAGAACAAGGGGGTAGAGATAGATTTTGGGCGCTGGAAGAGCATGTAATTAAATACATATGATACTCAAGGTGCTGCCTTCATCTGTCTCCTCGTCTCTACTTGCGCCAAGCGAGCGAGCGGGTGGTGGATGTCAACTGCCGTTGACCGAGACGCGGAGCAGTGAGTGGACTAGAGACAGAGATAGGCTGATTTTAGATCGCGACCAAAAAAATGACGGGAGGAGTGGAGAGTTTGATTAGTTTTGCGATCGGCCAACTTCATTTGCCGGTGTTGGTCATCCAGTGCTTGTAGTACGCCATCGGGGTGGTGGGCCACTGTAACGAGCGATTTTGGTCGCTGATCGGCTAACTTCGGTTTGCCGATGTCATCCAATCTCCTCACCATCGGCCAACTTCACGACACGTCTTATTGAGGGCATATTCGCATGAACTAGCCCGTGGGGCTCTGGATAGCCGCGGCGAGTTCAGTAATCAAGTACAAGAACGACATGAATCTCTCTGTCTGCTCTTTCTGCTGGACCGGCATAGACTTCCATTTCTCCCGTCCGTATGTCTCTCTACCGCATTGGCGTTGACGTGGGCGGCACCAACACGGATGCCGCCATCCTTGACATCAAGGCGGCTGACAGCCCCGGCCGAGGTGTTCTCGCTTCACACAAGGCCTCGACAACCCCGGACATCACCAGTGGTATCGAGTCTGCTATTCGTGCTGTGCTCCAGGAGTCGCAAGTCGACCAAACTCGCGTGTTGAGCGTCACGATTGGAACCACGCATTTCATCAATGCGCTTGTCGAGGCTGACGCGAGGAGGCTGGATCGCGTCGCTGTTGTACGTCTCTGCGGGCCCTTTGCTAGACAGATTGTGCCGTTCTCTGACTTTCCTGTCGGTCTTAGAACCATCCTTGACGGGGGTGCGTACTATCTCGATGGCGGCCACGAGATTGACGGTCGTGAGATAGCTCCATTGAACCCTGAGCAGATCCGCCAAACAGCCAGGGATATCGTTGCTTCTGGTCTGAGGGCCATCGCATTGGTTGGAATCTTTTCCCCTCTAGATCATGAAGGCGCCCACGAGGAGCAGTGCAAGCGCATTCTACTTGAAGAAGCGCCAGATCTCCATGTCGTGTGTTCGCATGATATCGGCCCAACTGGCTTATTGGAGAGAGAGAATGCCACTATCCTCAACGCTGCCATCTTGCGCACTGGTCATAGGGTAAAGAGAGGATTTCAACGTGCCATGAGGCGGCTGAACCTCTCATCCCCTCTGTACCTCTCGCAGAATGACGGGACACTCATTGACGCCGACACGGCTGCTGAGTATCCAATCAAGACATTTGCCAGCGGACCAACCAACAGTATGACTGGTGCTGCTTTCCTCGCTGGCATTGATCATCAAAGGGAGGCTCGGAAGGACAACAGCCCCTCATCCGACCAGGAGCAGGAACAGTCACAACTTCTTGTCGTGGACATTGGAGGTACGACCACGGATGTGTGCGCTCTCCTGCCTTCTGGCTTTCCTCGCCAGGCACCTGGCTTTGTCGAGCTCGGCGGGGTACGAACGGCATTCTCCATGCCTGAAGTCGTGTCCATCGGGCTGGGTGGAGGAAGTAAGGTCCGTGTGGCTGAGGATGGCTCAGTTACCGTCGGACCAGGGTCTGTTGGACACTACCTCAAACAGGAGGCCAAAGTATTTGGTGGGCAGACCCTGACGACCAGTGACATTATTGTCGCCTTGGGCAAAGCCGAGCTAGGCGACAGGGGACTTGTACAAGATGTCACTGCCCCGGTTGTTGAAAACGCACGGAAAGAAATAAAGAGGATGTTGGAAGGCGTCATTGAGCAGATGAAGGTTTCTGCTGCACCCGTTCACGTCCTACTGGTCGGAGGCGGGGCTCTCTTGGTCACAGAAGACTTGGACGGTGTGGAAAAGTGCCTGCGTCCCATCCATCAGGGGGCCGCCAATGCTGTCGGTGCTGCCATTGCAAAAGTTTCAGGCGAGATCGACGTTGTAGAAATCCCTGAAGGGCGCCCCGAGAAGGAAATGATTGACGCTGCTTGCAAGAAGGCTATCGACCTGGCAATTGAGAAGGGTGCCGCCCCCGAGGACGTTCAGATCGTGGAAATAAATAAGATGCCCTTGCAGTACATGCACAATGGCGCCACGAGAATCCAGATCCGGGCTGTTGGACGGCTGTCCATCCCGGATGATCTCGCTTTTCCTTCATCAGCCCATGTTGTCGAGGCCGACAGTGATGTCGAAGAAGACGAGGGCCAAAAAATCAGTGTCGCCGACGCTCTGACACCTACCACCAAGCCATCTCTTAAAATTGATCTGGATACTTATCGACCGGAAGTACGAGATGGCATCTGGTACGTGTCTGAGGTTGATCTAGAGATGTTTGCTACAGGTTGTGGTGTGCTAGGAACCGGTGGAGGCGGCCCTACGCACCACGAGTTCCTCAAGAGCTTACAAGCCCTGCGATCTAGTCCACAAGGCAAGATGCGGATAATTTCTCCAAAGTCTCTTAAGGATGATGACACGGTTTGCTTTGGCTCCTGGTATGGCAGTCCAAGTGTCATCAATGAACGCATCGCGGGGGGCAAGGAAATTGCCACAGGCATCGAAGCTCTTAACAAGGTTCTTGGGAACAAGACTTTTGATGGCCTGTTCATCGACGAAATGTAAGTCACAATACACAAGTCCTTCCCGTATGTCGCGAGCGAAGCTGTAAGATAACTCTCACTAATAGAAGTACAGCGGAGGCGGCAATGGAATGAGTGTTTTCCCTTCCAGTGTTTACTTTGATGTTCCTGTGATTGACGGCGATGCTATGGGCAGAGCCTATCCTACCATGTATCACGGTATGAGTCCAATTCCCCAGACTACGCATTTAGCCATCCAGTCTGCTGAAACTTGAGTAGCAATATTTAGTGTTTACGGGTACTCGCTCACGCCGTGCGCGCTCTCTGATGCACGGGGGAACACCTCCATCATCATGGTATGACTGTCGCAGTTCCTTTGAGCTCGCGTCCTCAGCTAACTCGTTTCTGTGCTAGAATGTGGACAACCCTGTTCGATTAGAAAGTCTCCTGCGAACATCGGCTATCGAGCTTGGCCTCGGCTGCGCGGTGTGTGCCAACCCACTGCCTGGATCGACCATCAAGTCTTGTGGTATCCCCAACACTTTATCTCTCGCGTGGTATCTTGGCCGCGCTGTTCACCTAGCACGGCGGAAGAAGACCAGCTACGTGGACGCGATTGTAAGTTAGAGCACTAATGCCTGTCCCTTTAGCCCTTGATCTTCGCTCTATTCCTCCACATGTGGGATTTCACTAACTTTTGCGACTTCTCATAGTTTGATGTCTGTGCTGGAAAGCTTCTCTTCACAGGGAAAATTGTCGACGTCCGCCGCTTTATTGGCGGGGGTTACACCATGGGATCTGTGATTATCGCACCCCTTAGTGAAGACGATCGCGAGTCGTCAGGCTCTAATCATACTGGCCAGACAGTAGTCACAGACAGGCACATGATCATACCCTTCCAGAATGAGTATCTGTACGCAGCTCTCACTGATCCTGTGACAAGTGGAGGCGAGAAGGCAGCAGAAGAGGTTGTTTGCACAGTGCCTGATCTGATTTCAATTCTTGGTCAAGATGGCGAAGCAATCGGGTCTCAGGATCTACGTTACGGGCTGAGAGTTAATGTTATTGCGCTACCAGCACATCCGCTTTGGAAAACGGAGAAGGGGATGAAGGTTGGTGGTCCGGAAGGATTTGGCTTAAAGATGGTGCCTGTGGGATTAGGCGATGGATACGCCGAATCAAGGAGTGTTATTGATGAATATGGTGTATAAGTATTATTGGCCATGTAGATTTAGCTGCTCACGTATGAGCGAATGATACATCATCTCACCTCTGAAGGGAGAAGGACAAAAACTTGGATAGCATTGGGGCTCCAATTATGTAAATTACGTGTTCGGCGGCATTGTTTCGAAACTTTTAAGAGACACTGCTGCCGTACTCCAAGAAAAATGTTTGTTGGCGAGGCACAGAACAGCCTGTATTTGTATGAGTGAAGTCGAAAGTCTGGAAACTGGATGAAAGATTATAAGGCCACGCAAATTCAAGGATGACAATACAGTCGTATTATTGTGTCTTTGATTATCATTATTCTTCTATCACCGCTGAATAGATTGCACAGACCTTGGGTGAAGCGCCTCAAACACAAAACAAAAACATCTCATTATGCTTCCCTGCTGTAGACTCATTAAAGCCCAGCAATTTTCCTGAAAACGGAATTCTCCACGATTGGAAACTGGCCCACCATCTGCACTCCAGGACCAGCAACAAGGGCGCTCTTGTGCTTACCCATGGCGACCTCTGTCAAGAAACGTCCAAGCTGCTCAGTCGGGCTCCATCCAGATGGCATCGCGTTCCTTATGATGGGGCCTAGACTACCTTGAAGTACCCTGATGCTGAGAGCTGGCACGGGCAAGTAAGGCTTGATGGCTTGGTGAGCCGCAGCATCCACAAAGGCAGGGCGGATCGAAGAGGCGTGGAAAGCAGGGTTCGCCTTGCGTTGCTCTGCTAACGCCAGTTCTGTCTCACCCTTGATACGTGCGAATATGGCTGAGAATCTGCCAGGAGTAGTCGTTGCTCCGGCCCCTGAGACGTAGACAAAATTGAAGGGCTCGTTCTTGGGGGGTAGCGATTGGAACGCCTCCGCAGCTTTCAACGCCATTGTCTTGGTGATTTTGACATACTCCCTAGATTAATCCCGATTAGCAAACGCTCACTAGATCGCCTGAGCTCTACGAAGACACGTACTCTTTGTCCACTTGAGTTTGGCTAATTCCCAGAGCCCAAACACAGCCAGTCGCATCTTTGAGCTGAGAAAGCACCGCAGGATCATAGTTTTCGAAATCCTTGTTGATCACAACATTGATTCGCGGGTCTTTTAAATCTTCGGCAAATTTCACTGGTCGACGACTAAGAACAGAGATTTTCGTGATCTCATTCATTTTGACCATTGCGTCAAGGACGCCGGAGCCAACCAGGCCTGTGGCACCAGTGAGGATAAGATGCATGGTGAAGGCGATAATTTGACAACCAGAGGCGAGAAATTGTAGATATGAAGTGATGTCAACAGAAAGAAGAAAACCAATTGGAACTTTCCAGGCTTCCTCTGTCTCTTTTTATTAGGTTGAAGGAGCGTGGACTTATTGCTTGCGCCAGTGGGAAGCCTGCCAAACGCCGCACTGCGTCCGAGAATTTACGTTAACTCCGCTGACATGCAGGAGGTAAACTCCGCTGTAATTCCACTCACTGTACGGAGTAATCCTGCTAAGGCTTGGGTTGGGCTTATTATTAGTAGAGACTGGTTACACAATTTCCTGGACGCACGTGACCGCCATGATTATCCACGATTACGCGATCTCCTCCTGTCAGACTCATCACCACCAACCAGCCACCCAGAATGGATGACGGCGGAGCAAGGAAGCGCCTGGCCAAGGAAACCCGGAGGGCCGCAATTGAGATTGCCGACTTATTCAAAGTTATCACTGTCCGGGCAATAAGATATCCAAAGGATGAAGAAGCGCAACAACGCGCTCGCCTCGCCCTGGGGTTTTACAATGACGTCGCGCCATTCCCACAGCTAGTCATTGACGAGATCTCTGCGAAACGCCTACCTTTTGGGTATGCGACGAAAAATTATGCCGCTCTTCGTCCTAGATACCTGCCAACTGAGATTTACGAAGCCATCATTGCTCACGTTCTTGAGTTTACGTATTTCGTGCGGCAAAGAACCCTGGTTTCTCTTTCAGCATCTTCAAAACGGCTTCGTTACCTTGCAGAACCACATTTATACCGCCGTCCTCGAGGCGCTCACTCAATCGAGCGGCAATGGAGGTTCATGTTCAGTCTATATCTGGAGCCCCAGAGAGGACATCTTGTGCAGTCACTCGAGTTCGGATGGTTTCCTCGGCCTGACAACAGTAAACTTCTCATTGATATAGTTCACGCCTGTCCAAATGTGCGGGAGTTACAAATTCAACGAGGCTCCCGCCTGTCCGATGTCGGGCTAACTACGAGAGAGGATGTCAATGTATTGGCCACTATCTTCGCTGCAAGCCCCCGGGTTACTCACTTTTGGTACTCAACATTCACTGAGTGGCTACCTGAGGCGGATCGCTATGGGAATGAGCAGCAGGTAATCTATGAACTATGTGCTGTGGACGACCGCTTTGCAAAGTTCGCTGCCCAATTACAAGACCTGGCACTCCATGGTCAAGTAAACTGGCTCGTACGGGCGCTGCTACATCATACATCTCCCACACTCAAGTCTTTGACTCTCGGGCAGGACATAGATCTTGGTTTTCGCCCCCAACTTCTCTCGAGTCTGTCTCTCCGCAGCCCTCATCTTGAAACTCTCGAGATACGCTGTATAATTGCCACGGGTGAGGACCTCATCAAGGCATGTAACAAATGGACAAAAAGCCTGCGTGCTTTGCATGTCTACGACATAGAGTTTTCTAATGGCTGCATTGGGGATATTATCAAGATTATGGAGGTTCTGGAGAATCTACATCTGGGATACGCATGTGTCCCGAGTCTTGGAGATCTTGAGGCCATCGCCCAATCACCCCCTCAGCGATTCAAATCAATTTCTGTGCACGATATGAACATACCGGGACCAATAGATCATACGTCGGCGGATCGGATCGAACGAGCCATCGCAAGTCTAATGCTCTCGCATTCATCAACGCTCACAAACGTTAATTTCATTCCCCACATGTTCAAGTTGGGGAAGCGTATGATAGTCAGTTGTAAGCAAATGGTCAATCTCGAGGAACTTTATGTGGCCTTTTCAAGCGATGTCACCGCGGCGGACGTGGATTCTCTGTTGGAATCTTGCCCGAAACTTTGCTCCGTACCGCGACAGTTCCACGAGCTATCATTGCAACCGGAGAAATGGAAAGAGAGAGAGGTAGCAGAAGAACGCGAGTTTAACGCAGAGTATGAAATGCTCCCACCCTCACTGGGCTGAGGGGCACAAGGGTACAAGGACTGGTTCATCGACGGAGATGGTTATCAAACGAACGGCTTTGACTTTTTACCTTGATAGCAAGGTGGGCGCTTGTCTAAGAGGTAGTAGGAGAAAGTCGATCGTCACCAATGGATCCAAACAAACGAGGACACAACCCGATATCAGTTCATGAAGAGAGCCGGTTTGAGCAATTGCGGCACATTTGCTCTAGTAATTTTATGAAGTCAACTCCAAGAAATTATGCAACTCATTTCTATTCGAGGACCTGGCAAGTGTCAGCTTCCTTTTTATCCATGGGTACCTAGCATAGGTAATCACCATTACTTGGGCTATTACCCTGTATAGAGGACCAATCCAATTCAGTTAACTTGATCTCCATGAAGTCACCATCCGAAACCCCTGATTGATTGTACTCAAATGCTAAGTACCAAGCAATTTACTTTTCAAAGTCAACACGAACAGAATAGGGTATGTGAATTCTGTACGTCACGTACCCTTCCCGGCTCCGCCCATTGAAAGTGAGGTCCCAAAATGTGGCCGGGGCTAACGCCAACATCATCAACACACTGGATATTTTCTGGCCCCTCAGAAAAGCTGAATGTAATGTTAGTGATCGAATTATCTTGTTTGGAATAGAGTATTGGAATGGAACTGGTGTCCATCGGGTCCCATTGAGCCGGTGTACGCAAAACATCATCGATTTGAGCTGAAAGACCAACGCATCGCTAGCCGATCTTTTGCAGTTTTATATACTCGCAATAGGAACAAGACATTCTAGTCGCAAAGGTGTACCTGGGGTAGCTCCTAATCAAAGTGCCTTGTTTGAAGCAAGTCAGAATGGGGACAGAAAGCGAGAGGGATGTGTGTCAGCGCTCCGCGGGCTAGAAACAACCGAGCTACTCATAACAACTGCGCCTGCGTTCAGCAGATCAGTGAAGATACCTAAGATCTGCCACGATGCATCAGCTTTAAACTGTATAAATTCAACGTACATGTGATACTGGAGGAGACAGCATAATGAATATGCCGCAGTATGAACAACGACTTGCTTATTCTTTGTGTTGAGATTCCGGCTCTGGCATCTTTCATTGGTGTTTTTAACTTTATGCTCGAACTCTCTTCCCCTTCCGAACAACGACCTGTGCTTGTTTTGATCTATAGAGTTTTAGCAAATAACCAGTAGAATGAGAATACTAATGAATGTTGATAATACCAAAAGATTTGGTCCCTGAAATTACCGCCCCTCTGGGTCCCGTTTACTTTACCCATATAGACCGATTAGATCATTTGATTAGCCTAAAGAGAATATCTATGTTAGGTAGCTAAGTCGCATGTGGTTGAAAAATGTTTTCCTCTAGATGTTTGGGTTATTTATTGTTTTTATTAGAAGGATTCTCTTTAAATCACTACCCAGGTCTAATAGCTACGCCTTAGAGCTCTAGATAGGGTTAATTTATATAAGATAGATATATTATTATTACTAGTTATAATCTACCTATATTAATTACTAATTATCTCTCTTCCTTATTACCCTATAATTATAATAGTAATTATTATATATAAGTAATACTTAATTAATTAGAGGGCTATATTTAATATAAGCTCTCTTTTCTTTTAAGGTATTACTTATATTTAATTTAGGTTATAAATAGTAATAATAAAGCTCTTAAGAGCTTTAAGATAACTATTACTATAAGCCTAAAAGCCCTATAGTTATTCTATAATTAAATAATAGGAAAGATATAAGGAAATAATATATAATAATAAGAAATAAATATCTTTAATAAAAGTAGAGCTTATATAATTACTCCTTATAGTTTAATTACTATTTACTTAAGTATTTATATATAATATATAGTTAATTAAGGTTAATTAACCCTAATTATAATTAAAAGAGTAAATAATAGAGAGTTATTTACTTAAATAAATATAAATTATAATAAATCTATAGCTATAGGAGCTCTATAAATTACTTATATAGCTTATAATAAATTAGATAATCTTAAATATAAAGTATAAATTACTATTAAAGGGATTTAATAGGGAAATATATACTAAATTACTATATAATATAGCTAATTATATTAAATTACTTAATTAATATAATTAAATTAGTTACTATAAGATCTTAAGAGCTCTTATATCTTTAAAAGGAAGCTCTCCTTCTAAATTAAAGGTTAAATTCCTCTTCTTTTAACCTTATTATTAATAATATTAAGTTAGTCTTAGTAATAGTTTCTCTCTCTCTCTCTCTTAATCTCTCTCTTTATTAATTATCTACTTTATTATATACTATAGCTCCCTCTAAATAAAGTAAAACTATTAAGGATTATAAGTTTAAGAAGAAGATTACTACCCTTAAGAAGGCTAAGGCTAAGGGTATATTACTTTATACTTATTCTCTACTTTAATAATTATCTAACTAGTTAAATTAGAGTATACTAAGAGCACTTAATACTTTATTCCTTACTTTAAGTATCTTAAGTCTTACTTAGATAATAAGTAAACTCCTTATTAGCTTTATAGAGGCTACTTTAACCTTAACCCTCTTAATTTAAGGTATTTTCTTTATACCTCTAAGTACTTATATCTTTTAATATAAGCTCTTATAATTATTAATCTAATTTAAATTTATCTTATTAATTTCTTTTATTATATAGCCCTTCTATAGTTTATAAAGCTATTATAAAATACCTTTATACTTATAATATATATAATATTACTATAAGTTTCCTTAATCTCTAATACCTTTATAGTATAATTATTTAATCTTATTAATAATATATTATAGGAGATAGTTAAGTAATATATTATTATTTATAATATACTTAAGATTACTAAGGAGGAGGAGAGAGATAGGGGTAATAACCTTAATACTAACTTTATTACCCTTAATAATAAAGAGTTAAAGGAGGCTAGCTATATTACTACTTTATAGCTCTTTAATACTCTTTAATATAATAATCTTATATATACTATTAATACCTAGGAGGAGCTTACTAATTAGCTAGCTATTAGTAGTTTCTACTTATCTCTTACTCCTACCTTTAAGGAGCTTATTAAGTAAGCTATAGCCCTTAAGAAGAAAGTCTAAGTTATTAAAAAGGCTAAAAGGACCTAAGAGCTTAAGAAGAAAGCTACTATAGGCTTTAAGGAGCCTATTATTAAGAGTATTTAAAGCTTTAAAGAGCTAATTAACCCTTCTTCCTTTAGTAATAAGTCTCCTCTTTTTAAGGATAATAAGTTTAATACCTTTAAGGGGGTAAATACTTAGTTAATTAGTTTATTTAATATACTTATAAGAGCTTAGCTCCCTTAGTCTTAAGATCCTAAGTATTAATACCTTAAATTTAAGTTTTTATTCTCTCTCTTACTCTTCTTTTCTTAATATTTAACTTAGCTTTTTACTTATATCTTAACTTTATTAATATTTATAAGAGCTTTTAGTATATTATTTAGAGCTCTCTTAATTATTATATTTACTAAGTTATCTCTACTAGCTATTTATTTAATTTTATCTATTTCCTACTCTTTATAGCTTTATTAAAGGATTATAAGGTTAATTATAAGCCTCTTTTTAGCTATTATATTTAGTTAAATAAGGTATTAATAAAGGGAAAAGCTATTTATATATATTATTATCCTTATTAAAGGTAAATTTAATCTCTTTATAAGCTCTATAAGTATTACTTTTAGTATAAATATAGTATTAAAGCTATTAACTATATTATAAATCTCACTTATAAATATAAACCTTATAACCCTCTTATACTTTATAGACTACTAATAGATAATATTAATACTTAGAGTAAATATATATTTATAATTATAGGATCTCTTATTACTATAAGCTATAAGGAAGTTAATTTATAAACTTAAGTCTTTATTATTTATAAAAGATCTATTTATAAATATATATAGCTTTACCTTTATAAGATCTAACTATTTATATATTAAACTATATTATAATCTCTTAAGCTACTATTATATTTATTAGTTTAATAATTTAATATCCCTCTTTTCTAAGTTCTATACCTATACTATAATTATATAGTTAAATATAACCTCTAGTTAGTAAATAGAAGAGATATAAGCTTTATAAGCTCTTTATATAATATATTTATATTTAGCGCCTTTAGTTTCTATCTATATAAGCTTAAGCCTATTAGCTTAAGCCTTTTATTATATAGTTAACTTATTATTAAAGACCTTAATAATATATCTATTAAATATACCTTAAGAGTTTAAATCTAGTAAGAGTATAGGTTTTACCTTAAGCTCTACTCTTTTAAGCTCTCTATTCTCTTTCTTAATAAATTCTAGCTCCCTAAGGTTTAATATATTATCTATTTATATACTTATAATACCTATACTCTTATTAGCTTTAGTTATTAATAAGTAAGGATTATAGCCTATTAAAATATAGCTTAAATAGTCTCTATAATACTTCTAATAAGTTATAAACTAATATAAGCTAGATTCTACTTATTATACCCTAGTTATAAGCTGCCTTATAACTATATTATATAATATACTTAAAGTACTAAGAAAGGTACTTAGGACTAAGTATTAGGCGATTATAACTAAGTATACTTTATTTAGTACTAATTACTAAATATAAATATTAAGTACTTTAGTATATATATATACTTATTTCTTAAATAGAAATACTCTCTTAAATAGTTATTAATATAATTATCTATATATCTATTATTACTAGCTCTATAATACTTATATATTAATAATAACTTATATTATATAGCTTATAATAACCTAATTATACTATTTAAAATAATACTTTATTTAGTTTAACCTTAACCTACCTTAGACTTAATCTAATATAAGTTAACTAACTATTATATATTAATAACTCTTATTTAGCTAATTACCTTATCTTAATTACTATATAATAATAAAAGATAATATAATTACCTTAAGAACTCTAGCTTAGTAAAATAATACTATAAGAGTACTAACTATTTAGTAAATAATTAAATAAC